GTTATACAAGAAAAAAATAAGTAAATTCACTTGTACAGTTGTCACAGACCTTCTAGTACAAATAACCTAGCAAAGTACTTTTTCAGACTAACTGCAATTTGATAACTGCTTAACATAAGCCACCTGGGTAAATTAGTTAATATCTAACACTAGCATAACTCTACTCCTCAAACTAATGGAGTGACAACACAGATTATTACACAAACTGTACAATTAGCTTTTTTAGACATGCTTTCCACATAGGTCTTACTGAAACCAAATAAAACATGTACAGGATAAGTATCCTTTATCCAAAATATTTGAGACCCAAAGTGCTTTGAATTTCACATGCTTTAGAATTTTAGAGTATTTGCTGCTACATAATGACATATCCTGAGGATGGTACCAAATCTGAACATGAAATTCACTGTTTCATATAGATTTTATGTGCACACCCTCTAAAGGTAATTTTATATCATATTTTTAATAATCTGGCACAAGAAATAAAATTTCCATGGTGTGGAATTTTCCAACTGTGGCATCAGGTCCAAACTTTTAGACTTGGGAACACTTTGAAAATTGGATTTTCAGATTAAGGATGCTCAATCTGTACTTTCCAAGCTTTCAATTCGATAGGACTATATCAATACCAGTAAGCCACAGAGCTTACCATAAAATGAGGGTGTTACACAAGCAATTTTTATTTCAAAGTAACAGTCACAGCACAGCTATCATGTTTTCTGTTTTCTATGACAAATCACCCAATACCATTTAATTTCTGCTCCTCAATGGGTCTCTAAGCAAGATAAAGGAAAGCACTTAACCTCTTTCAGTCTCCATTTCCTGCCCTGTCAAACGGGAACAATATCTGCTCACAGGTGTTACTGTGAAACTAGCAATAACACAGAACCTGGAATGAAGGCAACCCGCCTAGAATCAGGTACTCGGGAAGCAGAGGCAGGAGGATCCCCGTTTGAGGAACAAGACCCCGTCTCACGACGAATCAAAACTAAGAGGACTGGGGTGCAGCTCAACAGTAAAGCTACACCTGGATCCAATCCCCAGCACCAAAAATAAATAGGTAATAAAATATAAAGGGGGTGGGGATGTAGCTCGGTGGTAGAGCCCTTGCTCAGCATGTGCAAGGCCCTTGGGTCCATTCTCGGTTCCGAAAAGCAAAACAACAACAACAAAATTGGGAATAGGCGCCTCGTTATTTTCCACACGATTCTCGTTTTTCCACAAGGAGGGCTGGAACGCCCTTCTCGTTCTCCACACGATTCTCACTCGCTAACTCTCTGCAAGCGGTTGCAGCTGCAGTCTTCAAACTTGCGAAGGGAAGGCGGCTTCCAAAGCCCCAGCTTCCCGAGGCCCGAGAATCCATTAACGAGCTACCCCTGCGTGGCACCGGCGCCCGTAGCGTCCTTCACTCAACACCGAATTCCCCCCCACACCCAGCCGAACTGCAAGCTCCACGAGCTCCCGTGGCCGGGCCGGGTTAGCACGTCCGTCCTCCCAGCCCACAGGGACCCGGCTTCCCACTCGCACAGCGGCGCCTCAGCCACGCACTCCCCGGACCCGGCTGGGGCTTCAGCGCCCGCCCCGCCCTCGAAAGCCTCAGAGCGAACAGCTGAGGAACTTTCCCCGAGTCCCAGCCTCAGTTCCCCTGGCGTCACGACCGGGGTCCTCCGGCTCCCAAGGATTCGCGAGAGCGGCCCGAAGTGGCGTGGCGCTCTCGGACGTCGCTCACTCACCTGCAAGTGACCTGCTTGGTGCTCATGGTGGCTGGGCTGGGGGGCCGTCGTCGCGCCGCTGCCTCCCGCTGCCGCCTCGGCCTCGGCCCGGCACATCCTGCGCAGCCGCGTCACGTCGGCGCACTCCGCCCCCGCACGTGCTGCACCTTTGTAGCGCCGGCCGGAAACCTAGCCGCCGTCACAATTGGTTCCGCAACGGGTGTGAAGCCCGGCGGTCCCCCACACCTCGCGGCGCTCGGTGGCCGCTCTTCCAAGCCTCCCGGGCGGATCCTGAAGGCGTCCTAGATCTGCCAGTCGCTTCCAGGACAGGTAGTTCCTAGGATTCTGCTCCTGTCGCCAAGAATACTCCTTAGTGGCCTCTTGCATCCCCTAAGTCACCTCATCCCCCGCCCCCGCCAGCTCGTGCCTGAGCACTGTATCCCCAAGTGCTGCAGCTGCACCTCATTGGGGCTCCTTAGAAGCCTGGAGCCCGCGTCCACGGGCCCCGCCCGATCTCACCTGCGCCGACGAACACCCCTCGCCCCTCTCCCCTCTCCCGACAGCCCTTTGTCAATCTCTCTACTCCCCCCGAGTTTCAGTGCCCGATTTCTTTGCTGGAACCCCACTGCACTGCGTCTTCCATTTCCTCTTAGGGGAACCCCCAGAGTTAGCCTCGACCCAGCTCCTGCAGATCCCGCTTCTGCGCCCAGTGCATCCCCGTCTCCCCCAAACCCGCTGTCAGGGTCCCAGGAGAAGCCACCTCCGCCCCATCCTGGGCCCGGGCAACCGCCTCACCACGGGTCTCCGAGTCTGTTGTCCAAAATAATCTATTGTATTATCACTATTAATTATTTTGGATTGATTGATTGAACCCAAGGGTGCTTAACCATTGGACCACGTCCTCAGCCCTTTTTTATTATTTATTTATTTGTTTACTTAGAGACTGGGTTTCGATAAATTGCTGATGGCATTAGGGCATCATGGAAAACAAAGCACCAGAAACACTGAATTAACTTAAATTTTAGCATGGAGCTGCCTGCCTCAGCCTCCAGAGTCGCTGGGATTACAGGCCTTGGCCACGGCGCCAAATCTATTTTTAAAACCTATATGACATCATGTCCTTTGCCTTCCATCTTTCAGTGATTTCCTGTCGCTTTGTATTTTTTTTTTTTTTTTTTAACTTTTAAGAAAAACTGGGCTCAAGTGGTTGCGGTGGTGCACGCCTGTAATCCTAGCTACTAGGGAGACTTCAGCAGGAGGACCCCAAATTTGAGGCCAATCTGAGCAATTTAGACCTTGTCTCAAAATAAAAAAAATAAAAAGGGCTGGGCTGGAGGTGTGGCTCAACGTGGGAGGCAGTGTGTTTGATCCTCAGCACTGCATAAAAATAAAGGTATTGTGTATAGACACATTAAAAAAATTTTTTTAGCTAAGTAAATAAATAAGAAGGGCTGGTAGCTCAGAAATAGAATGCCCTGGGTTCAAATCACTAGTACCAAAAAATATATTGAGCTATCAGCAAACAATGACAGTTTTACTTCATTATAATTCAGTATAGTGGGAAAAAAAAAAGTGGAAATAGTGTATGTTTTGTTTTGTTCCTGAATTTAAGCAAAGTATATAATATTTTACCAATATAAAAGCCTCAGACTTTCTTAAGTATTCATTATCAAATTAAGGAAATGTCTCTCATCCTAGTTTTCTTAGTATTTTTATCATTAAAATGGACTTATTTCTATCAAATGCTTTTTCTTTTGCATTAAAAAAAAAAAATTGTGCCAGGCACTGAGGAGGCTGAGGCAGGAGGATCTAAGTTGGATGTCAGCCTAGGCAACATAGTGAGACCCTGTCTCAAAATAAAAAGGGCAAGGGACATAGCCCCCAGTGGTAGAGCACTCAGGTGTTGGGGGTGTTCAATCCCTAGTACTGCCAAAAAAATAATAACCCAATTATAAAATGTGTGAAAGATTTGAATAGACATTTCCCTAACAAAGACATATGAACTGGCAATAAACATATGAAAAGATGTTCATTAGGGAAATGCAATAAGATAGGACTTTACAGCCACTCAGATGGCTAAAGTAAATCCAGGCCAGCGTAGGCAATGTGGAGGAGCTGGAACGCTCATAAATTATGGAAATGATGTGGGCACTTGGGGAAAGGGTCTAGCAGTTTCTCAAAGTATTTAAAGGTTACCATGTAACTCAGAAATTCCCCTGGGTACTGGTGTAACCAAGAGATACAGCTGTGGGAGATTGTGTTTGGGATTGGGGTCTCTGACAAACTTGGTGATTGTGACATGCGTGGTAACTAGAAAGTTTCTATGCAAAACACAGAATACCTGGCTATTGGGAGACTCCTGTGTAAAAGCACGGGATGCCCGGATGCTATAGCAATGTTCTTAACGAGTTACCCAGGCTTGGAATGCCCAGCAGTTTCCCCTTGAAGGATAGGGGATAGGATAGGGATAGGATAGGATAACTATGCAGGTGCACTATCTGGTTTCCACGGAAACGTCCTTGGAGGCAAGGGGCTCTGTGTTGGTATGAACCTGGACCTCCTCTCAGCTAGCCAGCACTCGGGGTTAAAGGAATACTGGTTAGAATGCAGTCATGGTGATGGGTAGTATGTAGCCTTTCTTGGGTTAATAAACACGGCAGCAGAGAGGAACAGCCACCTGTGTGCCTTCTACACTGTGCGCGTGTGTCTGTCCTTTACTCACCTCTTCCCAGGTTCTCTCTACAGGTATTCTTAACACCCCGCCACATAAAAATCTGCACATGAGACAGGTGCAATGGCACATGCCTGGAATCCCCTCAACTCAAGAGGCCGAGACAGAAGGACTGTAAGTTCAAGGCCAGCCTGGGCAGCTTAGTGAGATCCTGTCTCAAGATAAAAAGGGCTAAGGTTGTGGCTCAGTGGTAGAGCAACCCTGGATTTAGTCCCCAGTACCGCAAAAACAAAAATAACCAGCTTTCACATGAAAATGGTGAAACTTATTCATAGCAGAATTACTCATAATAGCCCAAAGTTGAAACAACCCAAACATCCATATTCAAAGTATGCCCATACAATGGAATATTATTTAACCATAAAACTGAACAAATAACGAAGACATACTATGACCTAGGTGAACTTTGATAACTTAGGCTAAGCAGAAGCAGCCAGATGCAGAAGATCCTATACCGTATGATTCCCTTTATATGAAAATCATAAAGAAAAATTAGTGGTGCGGGGGCTGGTAGGAAGGGAAATGGGTCAGGACTGTGAATAGTTTGGGGTTTGGGGTTTCTTATTTGGGGTAATGAAAATGTTTTAAACTTAGTGGTGATGGTTGCATAGCCTTGTGAATATGCTCAAAACCACTGGATTGTACACTAAATGGGTGAATTTCATAGTATATAAATTTGATCTCAATTTAAAACACAGCAGGTAAGTAATGGTGAAGATAGACCAAAAAAAAAAAAATGCAATATACAGAAAACAGAATTTCCTGAAGAAAAAAATACTCAAATTTATAACTTATTAAAAATTCCCTGAAATAATAAAGACACGAAGCTACATGTTGAAAAAGCACATCACTGCCAGGTGTGGGGGTGCACACCTGAAATCCCAATGACTCCGGAGGCTGAGGCAGGAGGATCACAAGGTCAAGATTACAGCCTCAACAACTTGGTGAGACCCAATCACCAAGAAAAAGAAATAAAAAGGGCTGGGGATGTTGTTCTGTGGTAGAAGACCCCTGGATTTGATCCCCAGTGATGCAAAAAATAAAATAAAAATTTAAAAAAGTAGAATTTTTTTTTTAAATTAAAAGAAATATAGAGAGGTGAGTCTCTAAACCCAAGCAGCTCTTAGACTAATGGGAATAATAAAACTCAATGACTGATTTTTTTTTTTTCCTTTTCTTTCCTTTTTCTTTTTGTACTGGAAATTGAACCTGGGGTGCTCTACTACTGAGCTATAATCCCCAGTCCTTTTTTATTTTGAGACAGGGTCTCCCTAAGTTGCTGAAGGCCTACTAAATTGCTAAGTCTGGCCTTGACCTTGTGATCTTCTTGCCTCAGCCTCCAGAGTTGCTGGGATTGCAATGAGCACTTGAATAAATGACTAATTAAATAATAGAGTTCTGGTAGGAATATGAGTCCAGTGCTTGCAGTTCAACATAATACTGAAGAAAGCTGAGAAATTCAGCACCAAAAAATAGGGCTTTGAAGGATGAATAGGAGCTGGCTGTCATTCGTTGCAAACTGCACGGAGCCTGTAAGTGAGCACAAATGGAAACTAGCTCTTTAAGAAGCCAGCCCATGGGGCGGTCTGGTTACTGGTTAATCCTACCTGGCTCATGGTGGATCAGGTTACTGTTGTGGAAAAGAAGTCTCCAGAGACCTCGCCTGCTAGCCCAGAAGGTGAAAGCTATGTACTGCCCAGAAGCCGGGAAGCCTTTAATTAAATTCACCCACTGTAAGAAATCCATCTACAGCTTCAGTGTGCCCCGACACTGTCCTCTCTGTCAGCAGGAAGTGGGCTCCGGGAAACTGGAGGAAGCACCTGTTAGCATCTCTAATCCATTCACTGATGGGCATCAAGAAAAATGCTCCTTCCTGCTGCGACCAACTCAGGGGACATTTCTCAGGTATGGTGTTTTTTTTTTTTTTTTTTTTTTAAACACGTTGAATTGTGCAAAGTTTTCCTTCTGTTTGTGTCACTAAAATTTTTCTGTTACCAATATGCACTATACAGTGGGAAGTGTCAGTTTCGTGAGTGATCTTACCTGTGTTTTGACCTTAAATCCTGATATGTAGACCTACTTGTTTTGTGGCTCAGTGGTAGAGCGCTTGCCTAGCATGGGTGAGGCACTGGATTCGATCCTCAGCACCACATATAAATAAATAAGCAAACCAAAGGTCCATCAACAACTAAAATAAATAAATATATATTTTTTAAATGTCAGCTGGGTGGAGTGGCACACACCTGTAATTCCAGTGGTTTGGGAGGCTGAGGCAGGAGGATCACAATTTCAAAGCCAGCCTCAGCAAAAAGCAAGGTGCTAAGCAACTCAGTGAAACCCTGTCTCTAAATAAAATACCAAAAAAAAAAAAAAATAGGGTTGGGGATGTGGCTCAGTGGTCAAGTGCCCCCCGAAGTCAATCCCTGGTACCAAAAAAAGAAAGTCAAAAAATAAAAATCCGATTGGTGTGCGGGGGTCGTTGGGGGTATGGCTTTGTGTTGGAGCATTTGCCTTTTATGTGTGAGGCACTAGTAGGTTCAACTCTCAGCACTGCATATAAATAAACAAATAAAATAAAGGTCCAACAACAACTAAAATTAAAAAAAAAATTTAATGTGCACATATTTTTTAAGAATATGTGCACAATATAGGAAGGACACACCTGCTCAAACAATTTTAGGAGAGAAAAGTATCTGCTAAGAGGCTAACTGGGAAAATAACCAGCTGCCAATCCTATCAAAATAGTACCTTTTAATCCCAGCGACTTGGGAGGCTGACGCAGGATTGCAAGTTCAAGGCCAGCTTCAACAATTTAGAGAGCCTGTCTCAAGGAAAAAAAAAAAAAAAAAAGAGACTGAGGATGGAGCTGGGATTGTGGCTCACAGGCAGAGCACTCGCCTAGCATTCATAAGGCAGTGGGTTCGATCCTCAGCATCACATAAAGATATTGTGCTCACCTCTAACCAAAAAATAAATATTAAAAAACCCACCCAGTCTGTGGTATTAAAAAAAAAAAAAAGGCTGAGGATGTAGCTCAGTGGTAAACTTTCCCTGTACTTCTTCCCCAGTACCCCCTTCCCCCCAAAAAATTTCACTGTGGCTGCTCCCTGGCTTTAAGAATGAATGCAATCCCAGCAGCTAGAGAGGCTGAGTCAGGAGGGATCGCAAGTTCAAAGCCAGCCTCAGCAATGGCGAGGTGCTGAACAACTCAGTGAGATCCTGTCTCTAAATAAAATACAAAATAGGGCTGGGAAGGTGGCTCAGTGGTTGAGTGCCCCCCCACCCCCAAAAAAAGAATGAATGCAGAAATCAAAAAGAAAACATTATGTCTCAACTGTTCCTGTGGAGTTTACAAATAGAATTGAAAATGACCCTGTATAAACCAGGTTTTTAAAGTGGCGTGCATGTTATTGAATGATGGCATGCACTTTATTTAGGAAGTATGTTCAGGCTCTGGGGTGAGGAAGACTCATCTCTTATCCTGGTTCTTTTACTAACCAGCTCTGAGAACCCTCTCCAAGTCTCTAATCCCTCAGCTGTCAAAGGTGGATGGCTCCAACTTTGCAGGTGGTGAGGTCCAGGGATCAGGCACATAAGCCTGGCCCAAGTGTCAATCATGAGGCTTCAACCCTGTGCTCCTTCTATTCCAAAATTCACATTCAGCTCAGACTGTGGCTCCCCAGCCTAGCAGGACCTTCGCTTCCACCTTAAACAGAACCACAGAGGCCCAGCTCTTTCATAAGAGCCGCCTCTGAGTCATTAACTGGTGGGATTTCAAAAGCTTTTGAATCAAGTGGCCAGAATTCAGGATTTCCTTCTCATAACATTGGCCGGGAAAACAAATCCTTACTGAAGAGCTCTCCTAGGGATGCCATAGACCCGCTTTCCTGAAATGACACGATGCATGATCGAATTTCAGACTGGCCCTAAGCTCGCCCCTTGGTGCTGAGGATTGAATTTAGCATCCCATGTATGCTAAGCACCTGCTAAGCACCGCTATACCCCCCCAACCCCATGCATTTTTTTAATATTTATTTTTTAGTTGTAGTTGACAAAATATCTTTATATGTGGTGCTGAGGATCGAACCCTGGGCCTCGCATGTGCTAGAGGAGCACTTTACCTCTGATCTACAACCCCAGCCCAACCCCATGCATTTTTATGTTTGTTTATATACTTTTTTTTTTTGGGGGGGGACAGGGAATTGAATCCAAGGGTGCTTTACCACTGAGCTACTGCCCGAGCTCTTTTTCAAATTTTATTGACCAGGGCCTTGCTAACTTGCTGAGGCTGGCCTCACACTTGCAATCCTCCTGCCTCAGGATTGTGTGCTACAGTCCCTAGCCCTTTATCTTAAGGTGCCACACGAGAGGGGGAGGACCTCTATCATAGGCTGCTGCTGCTTTTCCTCCTCTTTCTTCCTTTTTAATCTACCAAATGCTTTATTTACTGCCTCTACTTTTAATATACTTTGTGAGTCTCTAAAGAGCTAGAAAGACTAGAAGTTTCCAATAAGGACTTAAGTGTGTCCACAATGTCCACAGTAGAGCCCAATAAACTACTCACACGTGAAGATGGTTCTATCTGAAAGCATCTTGTAAGCTAGGCATTCCATCTTGTAGGCATTCCAGCCTAGAATCCTCCATTTCTTCCAATTCCTCCTCTCCTGTCTCAGGTGTCTCTCGGAGGTCCTGTTACCATTTCCTTTCAAGAGTCCTTTTCTGAAGACTGCCTTTCTATGAATTTTAACACAAAGTGTACAGAATGTGTTAGTTTACCAACTACTAATGTCATACACTGGCAACCGTTTTAATATCTGGAGATTAGGTATTATAGAATTAAGTCTCCTTCCTCCAGTAGATGCATAATGTATACAGTGCAGCAAAGTTGGACAAAATGCACAGAACATACACGGCAATGAGTAAGCTAGAATTTTCTAGTATTTCCTAACAAAATACCTGTGTAACGTCTTTCCTTCTGCCACCCTCAGCCCAGTGAGCAAGTGCCTACAGTATACCATTCAGAGGTGGGTTAACGATTCCAAATGCTATTTCCCATCAGTTTTAAAAAGATATTTACAAAAAAGTTTTTTCTTCCTACCACTTCTACTTTAAGTATATAGAGGGACTAGATATTTCATATGAGAACTTGCCAGGCATGGTGGTGCATGCTTGTCATCCAAGTAACTTGGGAGGCTGAGGCAGGAGGATCCCAGGTTTGAGGCCAGCTGTAGCAACTTAGCGAAACCCTGTCTCAAAGTAAAAAAAAAAATAAAATAAAAGTAAGATGGGCTGGGGGGGCTGGAGATGTGGCTCAAGCGGTAGCGCGCTCACCTGGCATGCGTGCAGCCCGGGTTCGATCCTCAGCACCACATACAAACAAAGATGTTATGTCCGCCAAGAACTAAAAAATAAATATTAATAAATTAAAAAAAAAAGATGGGCTGGGGATGCAGCTCAGTGGTACAGCCACTGGGTTCAATACTCATCATTAAAAGAAGTAAATAAATAATTATAATAATAAGTGTTTCTTTCAGGGAGTATGATGGCAAGTCTGATCTCCATGTTGGAATCACTAACACAAATGGTGAGTGTATTTGCGTACTTTTTTTAGTTAAAAAAAAATCATGCCACCACACCCAGTTTGAGGAGACTGGTATTTCTAGAAAAGATGTAATTATAGCAACATTTAACTAGTGATCCTGCTGTTCCACCATGAGGTAGGAACAGCTACCCCCGGCCCCTGCAAAAAAAAAAAAAAAATAGAAACACTTGACTCTAGGCAAGTTATTACTACTCACATACTAAATATTTGGAAGCTTCCCCCCGCCCACAGTGCCAGATATGGAACCCAGGGCATTGCACGTATTAGATGAGCGCTCTATGGTGATGGCAAAACCAGACCTGGTTGTGAAAAGAAATTATAAGTGTTATGGTGAGGGCTGAGGTTGGGGATTGGCAGTAGAGCACCTGCCTAGCATATGTGAGGCCCTGGGTTTGATTCTCAGCACCGCATAAATAAATAAATAAATTAATTAATTAATTAATTAAAGGTCCATCAACGACGACTAAAAAATATTAAGCAAACAAAGCCTTATGGTAAGAAACGTGGGGAAAGTCAATTTTTCTCTCTTCTCTCAGCCTTTCTTCAGGAAGCCTAATTAACTATGGTCCCTACCTTTTGGACAGTAAAACACTGCACTGGGAATATGACTCTTCCCTCTTGATAGGTAAACACCCCTGTGCCAGGCTTTCAAGGCTAGAGATTTAACAGATGCCTGTAAAAAGAGCCATTTCTTCTTATCCATTTCTGTGAGCATGCTTTATTAAGAGACCTTGCACAGGCCTTCAGCCACGTAGATTAAGAATTGTTTTTTTTGGGGGGGGGTGCTGAGGATTGAACTCAGGTGCACTCAATAACAGCCACATCCCCAGCCCTTTTTTATATTTTATTTAGAGACACGGTCTCACTGCGTTGCTAAGTGCCTTGCTAAATTGCTGAGGTTGGCTTTCAACTCGAGATCCTCCTGCCTCAGCCTCCTGAGCTGCTGGGATTACAGGCGTGCACCACCACGCCGGCTAGGAATTCTTTTTAAAAGAGTGGAAAAAAGGGTCCAGTGATAGAATGTAGACCCATTCTAAGATGACGCCAAATAATCTATAAATGCTGTGAAAACTGTGGATCAGGGCTCAGAATTTGGAGTTTGTTCTTCTCTGGGCCCACCAGGGTGAAATGATGCTTGGCGTTCTCCTCCTCCTCCTCTCCAGTCTGCCTCTCAGCCAGTCTGTTTCCCACAACATGACCACGGAGCCACATCTTCAGCCCCTTCAAAGCTCTTCAGTGTTTTTCTCAGTGAAGACCCCTGCAAACCTGCACAGTTTTTCATTGACTTTTAGAGAGGAAAAAACAGACTTCCTGAGAGGTTGAGTTGCCCAAGACCTCCACATGTTGAGTCTGAACCTCTGGACCCATATCCCTTGATTTCCCAATCCTATATTCAACCTACTGCCACTGGGTCCCAGCACCATGAGGGATTCAGGAATCAAGCTGAAGGTTAGAACACCTGAGGGTGTGGGAGGACCTGAAGTACTTTGCTTAATTTTTTTTTTAAGGTAAGCTGTGGGGGTAGCTCCCTGGTACAGTGCTTGCCTAGCATGCAGGAGGCCCTAGGTTCCATCCCCAGCACTGCAAAAATTTTTTAAAAAGTATATGGCGATTACACAGAATGCTCCTTTGGCTGGATTGAGTTCTGAGGTGCAGAGTTTGTAACCAGAAACCAGAATCATTTTCCTCTGCAGGAGAAGGGCCTGGACCCTGGGAGCAGGTGGGGCTCTTAGTTCTGGCCTCTCTGGTTGTTTTTCCTGTTGGAGGAAGAGGAAATTAACAACATGAGGGGCTGGGGATGTGGCTCAAGCAGTAGCGCGCTCGCCTGGCATGCGTGTGGCCGGGGTTCGATCCTCAGCACCACATACAAAACAAAGATGTTGTATCCGCCGATAACTAAAAAATAAATATTAAAAAAAAAAAGAAACTAACAACATGAACACAAACTAGAACTGGTTTTTGTTTGTTTGCAGAACTGGGGACTGAACCCCAACTCTTGCATGCTAGGCAAACACCATACCACTCTTTTAAGTCAACTTTTCTCACTGCTGTGACTAAAAGGACCCGACCAGGACAACTGTAGAGGAGGAAAGGTTTATCTGAGGGCTCACGATTTCAGAGGTTTTAGTTCATAGAAGGCAGGCTCCATTCCTCAGGGCTCCAGTGAGGCAGGATATCATGGCAGAAGAGTGTGGCAGAGGGAAGCAGCTCACGTGTGGATCAGAAAACAGAGAGAGTGAGACTCCACGCTCCAGATACAAAATATATACCCCATAGCCACGCCCTGAGCAAACCCCTTCCTCCAGCCTCCCCCCACCTGCCTCCAGTTACCACTCAGTTCACCCCACCAGGGATCAATTCACTGATTAGGGTCAGGCTATAACCCAATAATCTCTCCTCTAAACCTTCTTGCATTGTCTCACACGTGCGTGGGCTTTTGGGGGACACCTCACATCCAAACCAGAACAATCACTGATCTACACCCCGCAGAGCCCGTTTTAAAATTTTTATTTTTAGCCAGGCATGGTGGTAATTACTGGTAATCCCAGCCACTTGGGAGGCTGAGGCAGGAGGATGGGAAGTTGGATACTAGCCTCAGCAACTTAGCGAGGCCCTCAGCAACTTATGAGAACTTGTCTCATTAAAAAAAAAAAGACTTGGGGGGTGTAGCTTAGTGGTAGAGCATCCCTAGGTTTGATCCCAAGTACTAAAAAAACCAACAAATAATTTTAGACAATAAAACATCTAAATTTCATATCTAAATCTCACTCGATGGATTGCTGCTTCCCATACTTATTCTAGAGTCTCTCTCTTGCTCTCTGACAGTAGCAGGAAAGCGGAGCCTGCATTCACCATAGGGCAAGTTCCTGAGGTGGCTGCTGCTCTTGTCTGAGGTGCCTTTTAACAGACATGAGTTTTTCCCTGGGCTCTGTGTGACTTTGGTTTGCAGGGGTCGTGTATAATTACAACCAACGCGGTGTCCGGCGAGACCAGGCGGGATGGGAGCAGAGTCTAAGTGTCCCGTTAGTGCAGCCCAACATGTTTGGACTGAGAGACCAGTGGAACAGGTACTTGGAAGACTTCTCAGCCATGGGAGCCTGGCTGCCACACAGGTGGGTGGCTACGAAGACCACATTCTGCATGCAGGTGTGATCCCTGTGGGGGATCTTTTTTTTTTTTTTTAATTTTAGCAATTTTGAAATTGATTTCTCAATTCCTTTCTCCCTCACCCTTTTAGAAGATGGATAGTATACTTGTGAATTTCAATGTTTCTGCAGTTTCCCTTGCAATGAGTTTTGATCCTGTGGGCTATCATAAAACTTAGGTATGGAATTTCACTTCTAAAATGTAGACTCTCATTCAAATTAAGTTCTCCAGGTTGGCAGTTTATAGGCACCTAAGTCCTAAATGCTTGGGTGAGCCTACTCCTACCTGTCTTTTGGTTAATAAGCAGATATAGCCCAAGATGCCATTGTCCCCCAGAATTGTACCTCTGGAGGCTTCATAAGTAAGTGGGTCAGCACATAAAGGGGCCCTATCCCCTGAGGAAACAGATTTCAATTATGAAAGTCCTTCCATAGCTTCACAACCTGTTCCTTAGAAGCTTTTAAAGTTCAGCCTCTCAGGGGCTGGTGCTGTGGGGTGCACCAATAGTCCCAGCTTCTGGGGAGGCTGTAGCAGGAGGATCTCTTGAGCTCAGTTCAATGCCAGCCTGGGCAGCACAGAGAGACTCTGTCTCTCTCTCTTTTTGGTACTGGGGATTGAACTCAGAGGTGCTTTACCACTAAGCCACATCCTTTTTATTTTTTATTCTGAGACAGGGTCTAGCTAAGTTGCTGAGGCTAGCCTTGAACTTCTGATCCTCCTGCTCCAGCCTCCCAAGTCACTGGGATGGCGGGTATGCACCGCCATGCTGGGTCATACCTTAAATAAATAAATGCATGCATACAAACACACAGCTCAGCTTTTCTTCTCTGTATCCCTCTCCTGAAAGGTATGACGAAGACCACCACAACTGCTACAGCTACACCCTCTCATTCATCAACTGCATTCTGACCACAGAAGGCAAAGAGCAACTGGACAAGAATGAATTCACGGAGAAATATGTGATCCCAAGGACACGGTTGGCCTCCAAGTACATCACCCTCTACCGGGCAATAGAAAAGCATGGTTTCTACGCAGTTGACCATCCTGACCAAGGAACAAGCCCTCCTTCTGAGGTGGTTTGTGCTGAGGGCTATGTGTGAGGGTGGAGGGGACAGGACATTCAGGGGTCACTGTCTTTAATTGGTCCTGAGGATTTCCAAATGCATCTAATTAGAGTTAATAAAAAGATGTGTGGTTTTCTTTAAGTCTATTTCAGCTTACTGTAGTCGAGGGGATCCTCCAGCCTCAGCCTCCCGGAGGCTGGGATTACAGGTGTGCATCTCCTTACCTGGCTATGGTGGGTTTAGAGGTATAATCCCATCTTAAGTGGAGGAGCATTTGTATTCCAACTTCCCCTCCTTCACACTCTGTTTTAGGTGTCAGTTTCTCTAGTCTAATTTCCCATCTTCAAGGAACCAACATTATGTCTCTTTTGCATATGAAAATACTTTCCCAATGTCATATAACGACAGAACTGGGGTTCATACCCAGGTTTGTCTGCAAAGCCGTGCATTCAACGCCTGGGTCACTGCAGGGGTTAAGACCCACCATACCCAGGGTATGCCAGCATCTGGGTTAGCCATTCACCATCATTAGAGACAAAAGGAGAAAATAAGGATTGTTTACCTCAATATGCAAAATGGGAAGGAGGTAAAAATTATGTCATTACAAAATCAGCTAAAATAAAAACTGATAATAGTAGAATGTTTTCATAATACTTCATGCTAATTTCTCTTAGGGCTTCACTGCTGAATTTTCAAGGCTTCAGAAGGTCCCCATTCCCTCTTTTAGGGGTCACTCTCTGGTCTGGAGGTGGTTTGCTTTATATATTTTTTTCCCTTTCATGTTACGAGGCTACAAATTCCCCACTCCTACAAAACCAAAGTCCCATATCTATAGGTTTTACGTGTAATGAAGGAAATTAGTCACTGAAATAACACCAATAGATGGCAATGTTGCTCAGCTTTGTAGAATTCTGAACTGAGAATCCTTTGATTTCTCACACCAGCTACCTGCTAACCACAGTGATAAGGAGGCTCTGGCTGGGCACCGTGTACTCCCGTAATCCTAGCCACTTGGGAGGCTGAGGCAGGAGGATCGTAAGGTCAAGGCGAGCCTCAGCAGTTTAGCAAGTTGCTCAAATAAAAATAATAAAATTAATAATAAAAAATAATTAACAAAATGAAATAGATAATAAAAATAGAGGGTGGTGGCTCAGTGGTAAAGCATCCCTAGTTTCAATCCCCAGTACCAAAAAAAAGGAGGCTCAACACTGAAACCAAACTCTGTTCTCCAGATGAGGTCTCAGGGTTCTCTCTGGTGACAGTGCTTCTTCATGTCATTGTTCAGCACTGCCTGGGGCACACATTGGGGACTGACCACTGGGCACACCAAGTACCTCAGTGTCATAGAATGGAGAGACCAGGACTCACACAGTGAATTTTTTTTCCAAAGCTTCAGCTTGTGCAAAACACTCCAAGAGCTAAGAAACCCCAAGAAACATTATTAAAGGGGGGAAGAAAAAAGAAGAAGACCCAACAGCTGCATCTAGTTCAGGAGGGGCTGAATGTTGAGCTGTCCTTGGCTACCATACCTCAGACTATTTTTTTGGTCACCTCCTTCTCCTTCTGTGTTACCTTCCAGGGCGTGATCGAGATTTTTCACTTTCTAGAGAAAGTAATAAAAGCAATGGTAATTTTATCTGAAAGGTGAAACAATACATCAATTACCTGCCAGACCCTTTTCCTATGTTATCTCATTTTTACTTAATTGCATTCTCTATGGATTTACCTATTTTAGATATTTCATATATATGGAATCATACAGTACAGAACCTTTTCTGTCTGTCTGTTCCTCCTCCTTCTTCTTCTTCTTTTTTTTTTTTTTTGGTATTGGAGAGTGAACTCAGGGGCCCTCAACCACCGAGCCCCATCCTCAGTCCTGTTTTGCATTTTATTTAGAGACAGGGTCTCACTGAGTTGCTTAGGGCCTCGCTTTTGCTGAGGCTGGCTTTGAACTTGCAATCCTCCTGCCTCAGCCTCCCAAGCTGCTGGGATTACAGGCGTGGGACCCCATATATATATTTATTTTAGTTGTAGTTGGACACAATACCTTTATTTTATTTTTATGTGGTGCTGAGGATCAAACCCAGTGCCTCACACGTGCCAGGCAAGCACTCTACCACTGAGCCACAGCCACAGGTCCCACCCCCCAGCCCTTTTTATTTTTTTATTTTTAATTATGAGACAGGATCTTGGTAACTTTCCTAGGCTGTCCTTGAACTTGTGAACCTCCTGCCTCAGTCTCCTTAGTCACTGGGATCATAGGCATAAGCCACTGTGTTCAGTTAGTATCTCTTTTTTGGCTGTGCAGGGGTGTACCAGGAATTGAACTCACTGAGCCCCATCCCCAGCCCTATTTTGCATTTTATTTAGAGACAGGGTCTCATGAATTGCTTAGGGCTTCGCTTTTGCTGAATCTGACTTTGAACTCCTGATCCTCCTGCCTCAGCCTCCTGAGCCACTGGGATTACCGTGCACCACTGTGCCTGGCCAGTTTCATTTCTTTTGGTGGCTGAGTGACATTCCACTGTGTGGGCGTATCAGTAACATTAACTTCATTTTAGAGTTGAGAACATTTGACGTCAGGCTCACACAACTAACGTAGGATGAAGTGGGACACAAACCTGAGTCTCACTATCAACCCTCCGGCCTCTCATAAGGAATTGCTGAAACCTAGAACCCAAACTTGTCTTTTTTTTTAAGAGAGAGAGAGAGAGAGAGAGAGAGAGAGAGAGAGAGAATTTTTTAATATTTATTTTTTAGTTTTCGGTGGGCACAACATCTTTGTTTGTGGTGCTGAGGATCGAACTCGGGCTGCACACATGCCAGGGGAGCTTGAGCCACACCCCCAGCCCCCAAACCCCTCTTAAAGCTTTTAAGCCCTGTGAACTGTCAAGTGCTAACCCTCACCCAAGAAGGCGGTTCCCTAAAAGGAAGGCAGGTTTGCTGCCCCTGAACCACTTTATTTATTTACTTAAATATTTGTTTTTTTAGTTGTAGTTGGACACAATACCTCTATTTTATTTATTTATTTTTATATTATGCAGAGGATCAAGCCCAGGGTCTCGCCTGTGCGAGGTGGGTGCTCTGCTGCTGAGCCACAACCCCAGCCACCCCTGAACCACTTTAATCCCTGTGTCACTGCCTGGCAGAGCCGGGTCAGGGCCTTCCCAGGGTGACCACCCTAGTGGAGCCCCAGGCTTCATAGGGCAGGACAGAGATAAGTCAGTTTGCTCCCATGATGGAGTGGCCCCTCTGGCACCATCCCAACATGGAATTTGCTCTGAATACAAATAGACAGATGTTGTGTCTTTTTGGCCTCTTGTCAATTGGGCGGATCTGAGTCACTCCTGCCAGGAAGGAAGGAAGACTCCCTGTTGTGCCAGGTGCCTTTTGGGTCCTCCTTCTTTGTCCCTGTCACCACACAATGAGAAAAACATTCACAGGGGCCCATTTTAGAATTAAGATCACTGAGGCTGATAAAAGGCAGCAAGGAAGTTGCTCAAGGGCACAACCCAGCCGGGGTTCCTTTCTAGAAGGTTCACTGCCCTCCTCAGCCTTCAAGGGAGTTATCTGGGGAAACCCGTATGCTGAGGTTGCTGAGTTTGGATCCACAGATGGACCTGGTGGGATCCGCCACTCTTCTGATGCCATCTGCAAGATCATTACGCACGAGGCCTGGGGTGTAGCTCAGTGGCGGAGTGCTTGCCTGGCATAGCGTGAGGCCCTGGGTTCCATCTCTCCAGAACTGCAAATAAAATCAAATAAATAAAATCTCAGCTACAGGAGTGCATTCCTGGGAGAGGGGCCTGGCTGCACCCCAACCTTGTGGAGCAGGACCATCGTGCATTTGCAGAAGCACACACCCAACCGCAGGGGGACACTTCTGACCTCACCTGGCTAAGAGGGTGCTCCTTGAGTTCGGTTTCTGAATGCCACTTGAATGATTTTGCAGCCAACCCTGCCCTGGTGGTTATATTTGATTTGGACATCCAATGTGGGGGCACAATTTTTTTTTTTTTTGGAAGTTATGATAGCACATGTTCAGAGCAAGAACTGAGGTGGTACAGACACCCGTGTGTCATTTATGCACACAGCAGCCCTGTGGGTTGGGGTTGACGGTCTCACGAGAACAGTGGCTAAGGCTCAGAGATGGTCACTTCTGTGCATCACCAATGACTATGCAAGTGGAGACCTTGGCATTAGATTGGATGGAGGAGGTGGCACAAGCTGCCATCTTTGCAGGTCACCTACTGCTTCTACTGTTTGGGCTTGTGGTGTGCCGTCCGTCACCCCATCTCCCGACCTTGGTATCTGAAAACATCGAAGGATAGGGAGAAGCATCATAAAATAAGTAGGTAAGTTTTGGAGGCCAAGGAGAAGTTGGAAGTGATAAAATGTCCTGAGAAAGTAAACATAAAAGGCATAATCTTGCCGTGCAGCAACTTGGGTGGCTGAGGCAGGAAGGTCACAAGTTCAAGGCCAACCTTAGCAATTTAGCAACACCTTGTTTCAAAAAAAAAAAAAAAAAAAAAACCAAAGGACCAGGGATGTGGCTCAGTGAAAGCATCCCTAGGTAAATTCCTAGTACCAAAAAAAAAAAAAAAAAAGAAAAAAAAAAAAAACAACCAAAACAGAACAAAAACCCAACAAAAAACGTGGTCAAGTATGTATATAATGTTGTGTACAATATTTTGCACTAAGTGACAAAATTTGTGAAAATAGTCGGTTCCAGAAAGCTTCATGGTGTTCCCAAGTATGGTGTGCTCAAGCCAGTGACATCCCTGTGCTAAGTGTACATGGTGAGCCTGTGAGGCCACTGAGACTAGCCTCATACAGTGGAAAGCTCTTCTTTTTTTTGGGGGGGGGGTACCAGAGATTGAACTCAGGGGCACTAGACCACTGAGCCACACCCCAGCCCTATTTTGTATTTTATTTAGAGACAGGGTCTCACTGAGTTGCTCAGCACCTCGCTGTTGCTGAGGCTGACTTTGAACTTGCGATCCTCCTGCCTCAGCCTCCTGAGTAGCTGGAACTACATAACCAAACCACACCTGGCTCTAGCAGGAAACTGAACACCTCGAGAGCCCAGTGATGGAGAAAGATGACTTTGTGAAGGCTTTGTTTTGTTTGTTTCTTGACGCTAGGGATTAAATCCTGGGCTTTGTACATACTAGGCAAGCTATACTGAGCTACATGACCTACCACGTGAGGATTTCAGGTCCTAGTATGGAGGGACCTCTACCTCTAAGGTTTATCTCCAGCTCTTCTTTTTGGTTGGGGATTGAACCCAGGGTGCTTTACCACTGGGCCACATTCCCATCCCTTGTTTTTTTTTTTTTTTTTTTTTTGAGGTAGGGTCTTGCTGAATTGCTTAGAGCCTTGCTAAGTTGCTGAGGCTGGTCTGGAACTCAAGCTCTTCCTATCTTTGCCTCCCAAGTTTCTGGGACTATAGGCATGTGCCATTGCACCCAGCTTCTAGCCCTTTTTGAGAGAGGGTCTTGCAAGGAATGCTGAGGCTGGCCTCAAACCTGTGATCCTCCTGCCTTAGCTGAGTTGCTGGGATCACAGGTGTGATACACAGACTACCTGGCTCTGTATTTCAGTTTTGAAGCCTCTCAGGAAGGGTCGCAAGATTGAGTACCACCTAAGCCTGAGGCTTTGAAGTTACAGATGAGGCAATCACTGTTGTAAGCGAAGCTGCAGCATCATCCCCAGTGAACTGTGGAAAACTCCTGAAGGTATTTTTTTAAAAAAAAAAAAAAAAAAGAAAACACATACCACCAAAGTGTCAGGACATAAATCCTCCAAAGAGCAGCTACTACTGCTGTTAGCTAGAAACTGTGAGAGCAATGTTAGACCCAAACCCCATTCTAGAGCCCAAGGGCCCTGTGGTAATGCTGAAGAGCACCTGGCCTGCCATGCGGAGTCCAAATCATATTCACAAAGGAACACCTTCCATACAGGATTGGAGAGCGCTATTGTTTCTGGGCTGGGGATGCAGCTCAGTGGTAGAGTGCTTGCCTAATATATACAAAGCCCTGGGTCCCCAGCAGCCACGGGGACAGGGGGTGAAGATGCTGCTTCTAGAGCTTGCCGTCATCAATACCTACTGTGTGGTCTCTGGCTTTTTCATACCACACCATTACTGGAGTCACAAGCTTCAAGGTGTACAAGCTAGGGATCCAGTGCCCTGAGCTACGTCTCTATATCCCCAGTCATTTTTTAAACTTTGAGACAGGATCTTGCTAAATTGCCCAGGCTGACCTCCAACTTGCGATCTGCCTGTCTCAGGCACTCCCTCCCTGCCCCATTACAGGTGCCTGACTTATGGAAGAGTTTTTACCAAAAAGGCATTTAGAGCACTGAACAGGCTTGCAAAGAAGTGTTGTGACATGTAATGAAAGGCACCAGTGAAGGGCTTGGCACTCTTAAGAAACTTCTGACCAAGGGCTGGTTACCGGTCAGAGGCAAAATGGGCTGGTTGTGAACAGCAGGATCAGGACCTGAACAGAGACACATGACTACATGCAGAACCTGTGTGTCGACCAGGGTTCATCTCACAGAGTTCTCAAGCTGTCCCCACTGGGAAGGTCAGGGGCCAAGGCAGTCATCCAGTTTCCTGGATTTGGGATGGATCGAAGATATTTCTTGTATACTAGCTCGCTTTGACTTCCTTCTCCCCATCACCAAAGAACAACCATCTCCCTCCTTGTTAGGGTTTGAATGTGGTTTGTTCCCACCAAAACTCATGTGGTTCCCAACAATAGTAATACCAAAGTATGGGTCCTTTAAGGGAGACAGCAGGTAACGGGACAGGGATGTAGCTCCTGCAGGATGGGTTAGCTCCTGAGAGCAGGCCGTTAGAGAAGTGGCCAGGACCTTCCCCAATCTCTTACTCTTGCAGGAGCCATTTCTGCAAATGGTGAGATCCCTTCTTCTCCGCCATGCTGCGATATAGCCAGGGAGCCCTCGACGCAACCCACACCATGCTGTTTGGACTTTCCAGCCACCAGAATTGTGACCCCAGTGAATCTTTTTTTTTTCCCACTATACCTTACCCAGCACAAGGTCACAGGTGTTCTATTTAAAGACATTCCTCTTGTCACCAAATGCTTCTTAGGTAATATTCATTTCTTTTTAAAATTTGTTCTAATTAGTTACACATGATGAGAATATATTTTCACACATCATACATAAATGGAGTATAACTTCTCATTTGTCTCATTGTACATGATGTAGTTACAGAGATGACGTAATCTTTTTAATTTTTTTTTTATTGTTGATAGACCTTTATTTTTATGCGGTGCTGAGAATTGAACCAGTGCCTCACACATGCCAGGCCAGTGTGCTACCACTGAGCCCAAGCCCTAGCCCAGATCATGTAATCTTATATGCTCATAGGATCATTGATATCACTATCATTCCTACTCTCATGCTCCCTCCCCTCCCTTCATCCCCATCTAGTCCAAAATACCTCTGTTCTCCCCTGCTCCCTTATTGTGAATTAGCATCTGCATGTCAGAGAAAACATTCGCTTTTTGTTCTTTGGGATTGGCTTATTTCATTTAACAGGATAGTTTCCAATTCTATCCATTTACCAGCAAATGCCATCATCTCATTCTTCTTTAAGGCTGAGTAATATTCTATAGTTTATTTACCACAGTTTCTTTACCCATTTAATCTGTTGAAGATACCTAGATTGGTTCCATAGTTTAGTTACTGTGAATTGAGCTGCTATAAATGTTGATGTCGCTGAGTCGCTGTTTATGCTGATTTTAAGTCCTTTGGGTATAAACCTAGGAGTGGGATGACTGGGGCAAATGGTGGTTCCATTCCAAGTTTTCTTAGGAATCTCCATACTGCTTTCCATAGTGGTTGCACCAATTTGCAGTCTCACCAGCAATGTATGAGTGTGCCTTTTCCCCCATGTCCTCACCAACATTTACAGTTGCTCGTATTCTTGATGATTGCCATTCTGACTGGAGTGAGACGGAATCTCAGTATAATTTTGATGTTCATTGCTTTCTAACCAATTAAACAAATTTGTTTATTGTACTTTCCTACATGTTAACTGCATTTATTATGTGTCTCCAAACATATTATTTCATCACTTATTTTTATTTTACAAGTTTCCCAGAGCAAGAATTTTTAACTATATCGTGATAATATTGGATAAGTTTATGTTCTGCACATAAACTTATCCAATAATGAGTTGAGAATTAAGCAATTCAGTAATTGATTTTTTTTTTTTAATTTTTTTTTAGTTGTTGATAGACCTTTATTTTATTCATTTACTTATACGGGGTGCTGAGAATCGAACTCAGTGCCTCATATTTATCAGGCAAGCGCTCTACCACTGAGCCACAATCCCAGCCTCTCAGTAATTGATGTTTTAAAGATTTTTCTTTGAATCAAAAAATCCTTGGCAGATAATCAATGGATTTTTTTTTTCTTTTAAATGCTGGGGATTGAACTCAGACAAGCTTTATTGCTGAGATAGATTCCTAGTCCTTACTGCTTATTTTGAGGCAGGCTCTTACTAAGTTGCTGAGGGTCTTATTAGTTGCTGAGGCTGGCCTTGAACTTGGGATCCTCCTGCTGAGTCAATGGAATTACAGGTGAGCCCCACACCCAGATGGATTTTTAAATCCAAGGACAAGTCCTTGGATATGCTGAGATGCATTCATACTTTCTCCATTTAAAGAATGGAACATGGGGCCCTGTGATCCCCACATCTGCTCTCTGATGCTCTCTCTCTCTGTAACAGATTAGATGTGCAAACAAGAGAGATCTTGTTCATATCTGTGTATGAACGTGCTCCCAAAACTGCAGAGTGCTGTATAAATGGAAATTATATTTTTGTATAAACGTGTATTATATTTTTGTACAAACTCAGAGAGCAGACCTACCTGTTCCTGGGAGAGTCCTCTCTGGACTCATCTAGTCTGACCTCCCCAGTGACTGGATGAAGTACCCAGGCTGGGGCCTAGAGGGTTCAGCGAGCAAGTGACTTGAGGACAGACCTTGTGGCTTCAGCACAGGCCTCGTTTTCCTCCCCTAAGTAGCTGGATGGACGATTACAGGGAAAGGACTTTGTGGAAGGCTCAGTGAGTGGGAAATCTGAGGCTGAATCGCTAGAGTTCATCTTGGTCGCTTCTCTCTCGTGAGGAAACCCAGCGACTGAGAATCACCTCCTGTAACCAAGACAAACAAAAGGTGACTGATTTCAAAGACAGAAATGAGAGAATGTTCCAAGCATCTGACATCACAGCTGTGCTTCACAAAGAGGCATCCTCTGTGCAAAGATGATACCCTCTCCCTCTTTCCTCCTTCTCTCCCTCGCTTCTCCATCCCTTGCACCCAGGGGTGCTCTCCCACTGAGCCACATCCCCAGCCCTTTTTATTTTTTTATTTTGAGGCAGGGTCTCACTAGTTTGCTCAGGCTGGCCTCAAACTTGTAACCCTTCTGTCCCAACCACCTTGGCCACTGGGATTACAGGTGCTTATAACAGAAAGATCTGGAGAAAACACCAAGGCAACGATGTAATCCTTACGTTATCTATAATATCTATAATAATCACTACAGAGACTTTAAAGGCTGGACTTGCTCAGCTGTGCTTCCCACCAGCACATTTTGGGACAGGCGTGCAGGTATGGAACCTAATGCCCAACGTCAGAACTGGGTCAGCCACTGAGAAAGGGAGGAGTGCATTTTGATCAGTATTTTATGAAAACCTAACCCAGTGGAGAGGAGCAGGGCAAATGGAGGGAGGGGGCTATGCCATAGGTCAAGGCACAGGAGTGGGGAGGAAGGGTGCAGCGTGCCAGGCAGAGGGAAAGGAGGACAGGCCAGGTGGCGGGGAGGAGCTCTACCTGCGGGGGGAGGGGCACAGAACAAAGAGCAGATGATCTGACAATGAACTTGGCAGAGAACTTGACAGAGAAAAGCCAGCCAAGAAGACAGCAGAGGGCGTAATTCAATATGGGAGTCAAATGAGAGGCGCTGGGGTGCAGCTAGGTGGTAGGGCTCTCTGTGCAAGGGGGAAAAAAAAAAGAGAGAGAGAGAGAAACACGCAGAACAGGCTTACGGGGCCCAGAAGGCTTTCCGAGTCGCTGTGGCAAGACCATCTGCACTTGCTCTCCTGGCACAAATTCCAGAGAAGACAATAGGTGCTCAGAGTCTTTGGGATGACGAGTCCCTCTGTTTACCCACCTGGACTTTAATTCGTTTCATACATTCTGGGGACTCCATTTCCTCGTCAGTCATGGTAGAGGGCTTAATCAGATAGCACAGCATAAGTTCCTATTGAGAAAAGAAAAGCCATTTCCATAGCCCACAGGACGGCATCGAGCGCAGGGGGTGCGGGCAGGCTCCCCCACTCCTACTCTGAGCTCCCAGAGCCACCAGCACAGGGGAACTTCGCAGCACATCCGTTTCCTCCTGGGAACTTTAAAACTGGGGCTTGGGGATCTCACAGTTGACACGGCAGATAAAGGAGGCTTGCTGATCAGAAGCAGAAATTAAAATATTAAGGATACGCTAAAAATCCCATACACTTGGCTTAAAAATGCCCGAAACAGACACCCTGTTTTCCTATGGGGTTGGCTAAGCCTGGGGAATTTCCTTTGCTCTCAAGGGGAGAGGTGGGCCTCGGCCTCCCCTCCCACCCACTCTAGCAGCACTGGGAGAAACTGTGTGTGGGAACACCTTCGGCCTGTCAGTCAGCACACACTGTGGCACGAGACTCAGCGGGCATCCTTATTTTTTTGGGGGGATGGTGCTCAGCAGAGGCTCCACCACTGAGCTACACCCCAAACTTGTGTTCCTGATAGTCCTAGTGTAGGGTAAAACTGTCCTCCTGCCTGCGATGGCTACAGGACACAGAACAGCAGTCAGGAAGCCAGATGGCTGTGGGTCTGGGCCTCTTCTGCATCTGAGCCATAGACCTGGGACTGGTCACCCAGAATTGCTGGACCTCAGGATTCCTCATCCTCAGAACGGGGATGAGAAGAGGGAGGTGGGAAAACAGGGTGGCCAAGTGCTAAGCGATGCCTTTTAACTCCCTTCTCTCAGAGATCTGACAAATTTGAAAAGAAATATGTCAATGATGTGTGGCTTCCTTTGTGTTTGTGATGAACTGCTGAACTGTGGGAGGAAGGAGCCTGGGACAACTGATGGCCGCAGAGACCCAGGCCTAACCCGGGAAGTGGAAAAGAGAGACCCCCAAAACACCAGGGGAGAAGAGAACAGCAGCCAGCCCAACAGGGGTGGGGTGCAAAAGACCCCAAATGTCCCAGAGCCTACTGTAAGGAACATTGTGAAGTTTCTATAAATGACCCCTTTGATTCTACTATATTTAAGAAAACAAACAATCAAACGACTTTGGTGACGCTCTAATGCCAAAGCCGACGCTGTGCTACCTTAGAGACATTAACTGAGATTCTGCTCAGGGTGGCCAGCGACTTCCAACTGAATGGTCTGCGGAGGGAGCCTTCCAAGCGATCATCCACGAGCTCAACGATGACAGAATAACTGGAAGACACAGACAGGACGTTTTAAAAATAAAAGGCACAAGGCTGAGGGCGGGGGTGAGGTGCACACCAGTAATCCCAGTGGCTCGGGAGGCTGAGGTAGGAAGATCACAAGTTGGAGGCCAGCCTCGGCAATTTAGGAAGCAGCCCCAATCAACTCAGTGAGGCCCTGTCTAAAAAAATAAAAAGGGCTGGGGGTGTGGATCAGTGGTAGAGCACCCTTAGGTTCAATCCCTGGTACCAAAACCCAACAAAATAAATAAATAAATGGCATGACATCATGTGTTTAAAATAAAAGTGTTTGTTTTATGAAGATACAGAAAATGGAATTTATATGTTCTGACCATAAAGTACACCTGGACTGCTAATGAGAAAATGGTAATGAGGAACTCATTAACACCTGGGGTTATAGCTCAGTGGAAGAAATCTTGCCTAGTATGTGTGAGGCACTGGGTTGGATTCTCAGCACTCCATACAAATGAATCATCAAAAACTAAAAAAAATAAAAATAAAAAATAAAAAAAATCCAAAAAACAAAAACAAACAAAAAACCCTCACCTCATGCAAACTTTCAGCTGATTTCAATGCTTATTTACAAGAAAGGAACAGAAATAATTTTCCCAACATGAAAACTATAAATTCATTCAACTGTTGAAACACTAACACTGACTGATGTTAAGATGAATAACCACTACAGAGATCTATTCAAGTGTTTGACACACACACAAAATACACTGTCATGACCTACAGATTACTGTATTTATAGCATAACAACGTCATAGATGAAGTATTAACTTTTGTTTTTTTTTGTGTGTGTGTGTGTGTGGTGCTGGGGACTGAACCCATGGCCTTGTGCACTCTACCAACTGAGCTCTACCTCCAGCCCTGGCTTAGACATTTAATATTTGGTCCCTGTCAGGGCCAGGAGGAACATGACTTTGTCTCTGTGGCACTGAAAACAAAATTAGAAGCCAGAAATTTCCTTCTGCTTTGTGTGTGTGTGTGTGCAGGGGGTGGATACTGGGGATTGAACACAGGGGTGCTCTATCCCCAGCTATATCCCTGCCCTTTTTATTTTTTATTCTGAGATAGGGTTTCACCACATTTTTGAGGCTGGCCTTGATCTGTGATCCTCCTTCTTCAACCTCCCAAGTCACTGGGATTACTGGCATGCACCTCCTTGCGTCTTTTAAGCTGTTAATTTATTTGAAAATCATTCAAACCTTGCATGGTAGAATGGCGGGCCTTTCCAATATAGCACTGCAAAGAAGAAAAAGAAAATGTATAACCACTCAAAATCAAAGGTTTGTTTTATTATTACTAATTTTTTTTCCTTCTCCAAAGGGAAGCAAATATCCATCTGTACATGGATATTCTACAATATGCCCGTGATCTATTTTTAATATTCTATTAAAAATCGAATATTTTGGACACACACAAAAAATACACTGTCATCACCTACGGATTACTGTATCTATGGCATAACAATGTCATAGACTGAGGAATTAACTTTGTTGGTTTTTTTTTTTTGTGGTGCTAGGAACTGAATCACTGTGTCTGTAACTAATTTTTTCCCCCAAAGTACTATTGTAAAGCAAATCTGTTGCCAACACCCAGCCACCTTTGCCCCTCACCCCCACTCTCCCAGAGTAACTCCCAAAGTCAAGTTCAAGTAATTCTCCTCCCCCTTGGGGCTGGGGATTAAAGCCAGGGCCTCTGAGCTATACCCCCAGTTACAAGTGACCTTTGTCTTGCCTCTTATGCTCTCCGGAGTTAAGGTGTGAAATTGTACCAACAGTGTGATGTTTGTGTAATCTGTTATTCATTTTAAATCAATTGAATTTGAAGTGACCGAGTGGCCCTCTGGCCAGTTCTGTGATAGGTGCTGGTTGGTGCTAGAGATGAACAAGATTCAAGCTTGTTTTTAAGAAATTCAGTCTCATGCCTATTTTTAATAAATCCAAAGTCAAGTGGTTAAAAAGAAAAAAAAAGGCTAAAGAATCAGTCTGCCCTACTCTTTGGGCCTTGAGGGAAGCAGGGTTGATTTGATCTGTGGAGGGCAAGAGGAGCTGCTAGGTAAAGGAGACTGGGGCTAGGGACTCTGGAACTTTCCTGGGACCCTTTGGATGCGCACAAGATCCTGTGGCAGAGAATGGCTGCCTGCTCACCAAATCTATTGCTTCTTCCTCTTGGGCATGTGGCCAGACCACAGCTCTCAATCTCCCAAGCAGCCAGGCATGGCCGAGTATGTGCTGACACTTCAGGTAGGCTCACGAACCCTCCTTTCTGAAGGGGACCTTGGAGCCTGGTGCTGGAGACCGTGAGGCCCAGGAAGAAGCCTGCCTTCCTGAAGCACCTTTTGGAGCTGATCTGCCCGTCATTCAGAGACACTCATTTTGGATTTCACATGAACAAAAAAAATGAGTGCCAATGCTGAGCTCCAGAGACCTGGCATTTATAAGTTAACTATAGTTCTGGGAATCACTGTCACTAATGCAGAATTATACTGTAAGCATTCAGCTATCCCCTGTGCTAAAACCAAGGCAGGATAGTTCCAGGGAAAGTTTTGTTTCCCTTGAAGACTTATCAATCCTTCAGGGAATCATACTTCCCCCCCCGGCTTGGGAAATCAAGAAGCTCAGAGACAAATCTGTACCACCACGTGCACAGCTGTAAGGTCCCCAGGAACACAGGGGAGACCCTTCACCGCCACTGTCCATGGTCACTTTTCCTGATTACTGGGTTCCCCTATGAAAACTGTATTTATAGTATTCCACAAGTCAGCTCATTCTCCCTGGCACAAATTTAAGTAAACATGCAAACATTTTCAAGCTTTTTGGAGAAGTGGTGGAGTGGAAAGAAACACGTATGGAGATGAAGGGGAACTCAGAAGCTTTGCCTCCTGCCCAGTCTCCCTACTCCAAGCTTATGTGGCTCTCAGGCCTGAGATGAACTTCTCAAACCTCAGTTCCCAAAATTCTAAAATGAACACATGGCTGGGCGTGGTGGTGCTGCCTCCAGTCCCAGCCCTCAGGAGCCGAGGCAGGGGGATCACCTGAGTCCAGGTTTGGGGGCCAGACTGGGTGCTACAGAAAGACCTCGTCTCAAAAGACAAAAGCAAAACCAGAGAGAGAGAGAGAGAGAGAGAGAGAATGAGAATATCTTTTTTTTTTTTTTGTAGATGGACACAACACAGGATCGAACCTCGTGTGCTCACTCGCCTGTGCTAGGCTCTACCACTGAGCCACAATTTCAGCCCCAAGCCTTGTTATTTTGAGATGGGGTCTCACTAAGTTTCCCAGGCTGACCTCAAACTTGTGATCTTCCAGCTCAGCCTCCTTAGTAGCAGGAATAAACAAGTGTGTGCTGTCATACCCAGTAGCCATTTATTTTTATTATTTTAAATCAATCCTTCCTCCTTCCTTCCTTTCTTCCTCCCTCCCTCCCTCCCTCCCTCCTTTCTTCCTTTCCTTCCTTCTGCTGGACATTGAACACAGGGGTACTTAACCACTGAGTCACATCCCCAGCCCTTTTTTTCATTTTAAAATTAAACAAGTTCAGTGGGGCTTGGAGGTGCATGCCCATAATTCCAGCAACTCGGGAGGCTGAGGTAGGAGGATCACAAGTTTGAGGCTAGCCTCAGCAACTTAGTGAGGCTCTCAGCAACTTAGCAAGAAGAGATTCCAAAGACAGAGGCTCGCTGCTGAGGCCTGGCTTCAGGACCCTTTACATTTTTTATGTCTCAACATAAAAAATAAAAAGGGCTGTAGATGTGGCTCAGTGGTTAAGTGCTCCCTGGGTTCAATTCCCAATACCCAAAACAAAACAAAATAAGGAAAATTCTATGTATCATCTACAGACTCGATCGCTGAAAATAAAATTTGCAGGGGAAGGGGCTTTGGTGAGCACCCTATAAGCATACATCATCAGCTATCTTTCTCATAAGAGTTTTGTAAAGAAGATGTTGTTATCCACCTTATAAGATGAGCAAATGGGAGTTCTCAGAGACTAAGGAACTTGTCTGAAGTCACAAGGTTAAAGAAGTAGAGCCGGCTGTGAACCCGAGAGCTGTCTCCCATCACCCCACGCCACCTCTTTACATTGATGTGGCCTTGTTGACTAGAAAATTTGACTCCAGTTTCCCCCACGTAATGAGCAAGCTGGAGGAGGCCTGCCAAACGCTCACACCAAGAGGCTCTGCTTACGGAGTGTGAAGAGGACAGGGCAGGAAGCCAAGGAAGAAAACAGAACATGCACTTCGCTTATTTAAACAGGACGGTGGCCAGCGTAGTTATCTCGGAACTGGTGAACTCCTCACAAGCTCCCCTCCAGCCTTCATGTGGTTGCCCTGGGTTGGACATCTGTACTGAAATCCAGGTGTGGAGAGACAAAAGAAGCCATTCATCCCAGAGACGGGCAGGCCCCACCCTTCATTTTGGATTGATGATCCCCTCTGAGAACCCAGGAAAGATAACAGAATGTGACCTGCAAAACCACTCCAGTCTACAAACACTATTTTGAAAAGAATTTTGGAGGGCATTCGGGTCCCCCTGAAAACTATTCTCGGATTCCAGGTTAAGCACATTTTAAGAATTTTGAAGAATAAACTGAGTTTCTTTGGGAATTTAAAAAGGCTTAAAGGCTTGATGGCACATGCCTGTAATCCCAGCTGTGCGAGGCTGAGGCAGGAGGATCGCACGTTGGAGGTCAGCCTCAGCAATTTAGTGAGACCCTAAGTAATTTAGTGAGAATATGTTCAAAATAAAAAATATAAAACGGGGTAGGGTTGTGGTTCAGTGGTTGAGTGCCCCTGGGCTCAATGCCCAGTATAGAAAATAAATAAATAAAAGGCTCAAAACCACATGGGCCCTAAGTAGAAGGCTTCTAAAATACCTCAAAACTTGTATCAGAACCTCACCAATGGTTCTGAAAAGATCAAGGAAGAGCCCTCATTTGGCAGATGTGGAAAATGGGTTCAGTGACTTAAAGGAATGATCTGATGCTGGAAAGGATTCCAAGGACAGAGGCTTGTTCACCGAGGCCTGGCTTCAGGACCCTTTACATTTGAGGACTGTCAAGGTCCCTCTCCTGTGCGCCAGAACCACCCATCTACCCTCTCATCTAAGCTGAGCATTGTGAGCACAAAAATCTGAAGTGCTCTAAAATCTGAAAATCTGTTGTTGTTTTTAGTGGGCAGATGTGCCACCACTGAACCACACGCCCTGCCTGCCAAATCCTGTGACTTCTGGAGGGCTGACAAGATGCCACAAGCAGAAAATTCCATACCATGCAGCCTTGCTGCATGCATAAAATCATTTTAAAAATACTGTATAAAACAACAATCAGGTCTTGTAAGCAAGATGGGTATGGACCGCATACCCTAAAACGGGAAACGCTTCTGTTACCCAGCATTTCAGATGCGAGATTCCCCACCTGTATCTGCACTGAACTTGTTTGGTGAGCTCAAAACATGAAGCGGCCCCCTGGAGGAGCAGCCATCTCTAACTCTTCTCTCACCTGAAGCTGCCACATCCACTCCTTCAGTGGGCCTGGCTTCCCTAGTGAGTCTCTTTTTCCACTTTGACTCCCCGCTGGTCATTAACAAGGCGGCAGAGACAGGGTTCCATTAAGTCAGCTCATTAGATTCAACTCCTCTGTTCAAAATCTTCCCAATCAAAAACATCCACATTGGGCTGGGGCTGGGGCTCAGTGGTAGAGCGCTTGCCTAGCATGTGTGAGGCACTGGGTTCAAGTCTCAGCACCACATATAAGCAATTAAATAAATAAAAAATGCCCATCAATAACTAATAAAAATATTAAACAACAACAACAGTAACAAAAAAACCCACGTCTTTGGCAGTCCCACCCGATCTGGTCTAGCTTGACCCTCACACTCTTGCCTCCTGTCGCCCCTGGGGATCGCAACGTTCTCCACACCCGTCTCCTGCTGTTCCTGAAACCTGCCCAGCATGTTCCTGCCTCAGGGCCTGCTGTCCACTTTGCCTGGCGTGTCCTTTTGAGATTCTCCTGTGAGCTGCTCCCTCCATCTCTGCCCACCTCTTCAGGGAGTCCTTTCCTGACCCTCCTGAGCAATGCCCTTGGCTCTCTGCCTTGTTTTTCTTAAGGTACGTAGCGCCTGAAGTTGCGTTCCATATTTGTGTGCTTGTTTGTCTCTCCCTGGCCCCCGTGAGCGCCAGGAAGGCAGATTTATTGTTCAATTGTGTTCTTTTTTTTTTTTTTTTTAAATATTTATTTTTTAGCTTTAGGTGGACACAATACCTTTATTTTATTTTTATGTGGTGCTGAGGATCGAACCCAGTGCCTCACGCATGCCAGGTGAGTGCGCTACTAGTTGAGCCATATCCCTAGCCCCCCAACTGTGTTCTTGACCCCTAAAATAATACCTGGCCCACTGCAGACCTTCTGGAAGGTCGACTCTCACTCTAGGAAGCTCCAGGCAGGCAGTGCTGTGAGGCAGGGTCTAAGAGACTGTGCTCTAGAACCCAAAGCCCAGCCCTTGAAGTTCTGGTCCTGGAAACGACTATGGACAAATGATCCAATCTCTCAAAACCGCAGCCTATCAGAAACATCAGGAAAAGAGCATGTGTGGCCTATAGCCCAGGACTGACTGCTGGGAGGATTAAGTGATACAGGTCAATCAACGCAATGCCTGACGCGCAGTCAGTGCTCAATACACACCAGCGGTGACTTTTATGGAAATAATGAGATTATTGTTACCTGGCAAATGAGGCTACTGAGGCCCCAAGGATACAGGACTGACCTAAACCACATGTGACGTGACGTCACGGGAATTAGTGCTGCAGACCCTTAAGATCACAGAGCAAACCGGGGGGAGAGCCTGAAGTGGGGCTGCAGGCTTCCGCTTCTGCTCCCAGACTGCCTCCTTTCCTGCCTGGACTTCCCCTCCACCCAGTCCAGCACTCAATATTCTTATCTAAACCAGAAGGACGATACCGTCTCAGATCAGCAACAGCAGGATAACCCATCTGATTTTCTCAGATGAATCTCATGCAAATGCCATTCTGGCACTTGCCCCACACGCCAAGAATACTCACAGAAATCTGTCCCGTACTTGAGCCCCACTTTGGGCACCCAGCCCTTGCTTCGGAAGTAGTGGTAGGCCATGTAGGTGGTCCTGAAGGTGGGCTGAATGGAAGTGAAAGCTTGCCAGAGTTTCAGTATCGTCAAGGGTTCCTAAAGTCATTTAAAAACACAAGGCCCAGGTTCAATCCCCAATGTCTCACACACACACACACACACACACACAGACACACAAAAAAAGTAAAGGCGTTATTGGGAATACGTATTCACTCACCAATCAACAAACGTGGAGCTGAGGTACAAACTGAAACCAATGTAGTACCCCTACCACAGAGAAGCCCCCGGAAGGCCTAGAATAGAGGGCACAGCTGCCAGGCACATCTGGCTCGTCCTAATAGAGTGCATAAAATACACACCGAGTTCCAACTCAGTATGAGAACCAAAAATGAATGCAAATTAGCTCCATAATTTTGGATGTATTGGGGTATATAAACTATGGAATATGTTATATCAAAATTAGTTTCACCTGCTTAAAAAATAATTTCTTTTAATGTGGCTACCAGAAAAATCTAAGAATGATACACATGGCTCCCATCTGAGATGTGCATGATGTTCCTCTTGTACAGCGGGGCTCTATAGGACTCAGAAATGGCAACATCTGGGGCCTGGGGTGCAGCACATGCCTGGCCTGCAGGAAGCCCTGGGCTCTATCAGTAGCAGAAATTAAAGGGGCGGTGGAGAAAGTGAAGAAAGAAAAGGCGACATGTGAAAATTAGAAGTAGCCAAGGAGAGGCGATGGTGGTATGGGGGTGGTGGTGGGAGTCTGGGATGGACATTCTAGGCAGAGGACCTCGGAGCCACAGCACACTGTGAAGTGTCAGCTGTTTCTATGGTGATTGCAGGGTGACCAGGACTAGCGATTTGCTCAGGAAAAGATCCCAAGTTCAAAGTTCAAGGTGCCATTTCTACCAAAGCATGTTATTTTTACACACTGATAAAAAATTCGAACCCTCGTCAGTTAGGGGTGTCTGTATCTTCAACAGGTATCATATTCACATCGTTTGAAAATCAGAAAGTATAAAAAGCATCCAGTGTAAAGCCTGCCTCTCCTCCTGTCCCCGGTTCCCTGGTTCCTCTGCCTGGAGGCAAGCAACGGTTCTACAGTCTGATGCTGCTGTTGCTGCTGCTTCTTCTTCTTTTTTTTTTTTCTTAGTACTTTTAGTTGTACATGAACACAATAACTTTTTTTTATTTATTTATTTTTATGTGGTGCTGAGGATCGAACCCAGGGCCTTGCACGCACTAGGTGAGCGCTCTACTGCTGAGCCACAACCCCAGCTCCTAGCCTCTGCTTCTTAAGGGGGCAGGGCACTGTATAAAGTCACAGGCTCTTGCGTTATCTGAACACAGGTTCAAATATTCTACCTATCTATCTATTTTGGGGATCAACCCAGGGCCAAGCACGCGCTCTACCCCTGAGCTACCCCACAGACCCCTTTAATCTTATTGTTCTTTTTCAGTATTGTTCTGACACATTTCCTGATCATCATATATTACACTTCATCTCTAGGAATGAAATTCAGTCTACAAGGGTTCAAGCTGGCTTTTGCCTCAACAGACACATTCAGAACCCGGAGTGAAACCTTGGAGAAGAATATCCAATTCCTGTTTTATTCACTAAGAACAGACAGATTTGTTTGGTTTTGCTTTGTTTATGGTGCTGGGGATTGAACTCAGGCCACTTTGAGAATTAGCAGAACCTGTTTTTTTTTTTTTAATTGTAGACGGAGACAATAACTTTGTTTTGTTTATTTATTTCTATGTGGTGCTAAGGATCGAACCCAGTGCCTTACGCATGCTAGGCAAGCGCTCTACCACTGAGCCACAACCCCAGCCCACAACCTGCTTTTAATACTCAGGAAACTTAGATGAATTGTGTCTGAACAAAACACCTTACCTTCTCATAGTAAATACTGAGACATCCCAGGGCATAGACCAGGAAGAAAGCCTGAAAGCAGAGCAAGCAGAAAATGCTCATTAGAAATAAATAGGTCCACATTCTTAGGAGTGGGAGCACTGTAGTTCAAGGGTGAGCGTTTGCCTACAGGCTCAGGAACCTGGGTTCCTTCCTTGGCATCACAAAAAAAAAAAAAAGCCACATTTTTGAGAAGCTATTGTATTGGCTGAGATTTTTTCCATCATGAATACAACTTATCTATTTTGATATATCACATATAAACGGAATATAGCTTCTCATTCGTTTGGTTGTACGTGATACAGTTAAGCAGGTCATGTGATCGCATGTGCACACAGAGTAATAATGTCCGATTCACTCTACTATCATTCCTACCTCCTCTCCCTCTATTCCCCTCTGATACATCTCCAGCCCTCAAATTAATGTCCTTTTTCTCCTTTTAACTTATTATTTTTTAAAATTTTTATTTAATTTCCTGGGGACGGAACCCAGGGCCTTCAGTATGTTATGCAAGCTCTCTACCACTGAGTGACAGTCCCCATACCCCAAAGGGATGTTTTTAAATCAGCAAAATTATCATATATTTATCATAAATGACTCACTAAAATTTCAAGAACTGAGAAAAAAAATCTTAACATGAATGTTACAAACTGGTTTAGATCAGTAAAAAATAAAATTATATATATATTTTCCTTAAAAAAATTGAACTGAGATAGATACCAGTAACTAATAAAAACAGAAACCTTTGCTAATTGGATTGCCTCCTGTAAAAGGAAATAACCATATTAAGCTGAGAAAAATATAGAAAAAAATTGTGAAATACATAGGGCATTGCAAATTTTGCTTATGTTACAAAATATAAAGTAGACTTTGCTTATAAAATACTGGGGTATACTGAGTGTGCCTAGCTTGCTAGCATGTTTGGGGCCTGCATTCAATCCCAGCTACTCAGGAGGTTAACGAAGTATGCCAAGTTCAAGGCCAGCCTCAGAAAATTAGTGAGACCCTGTCTCAAAATAAAAATATAAAAGGGCTAGAGATAGCTCAGTGGTAGAGTGCTGCTGGGTTCAATCCCTAGTACCACACACACAAAAAAAGAAAAATGAAAAAAAAAAAAATTTAGATAGGCACACTGGCACACACGCCTGTCATCCCTTTGATTTGGGAGGCTGAGTCAGAAGGATGGAAAGTTCCAGGTCAGCCTCAGCAATTTATCGAGGACCTCAGTAACTTAGCAAGGCCCTGTTCAAAATAAAAAAGGCTGGTGACTGTGCCCCTGGGTTCAAACCCTTGTACCAAAACCAAAATAAGTTTCTCAGCTCTCCTGTCTGTCAAGCGTCTCCACTGACTTATGTGAAATTCCATGTTCTACTGTATGAAAGACAGTTGGCCTGGTTGAATAAAATCACTCTTAAATGGAAATAAAAATAGCTCTCTGATGAAAATAATCTGTCCACACAGCCACATGTTGTTGCCTGTATCTGTCTCAGGTGATAGAATCTACAGGTACAACTGAGGAAGCTCCCCGGAGACTGATGTGCAGCAAGTAGTGGCTAAATGGTGGCTCATGGGAAACTGGGTTACTTTTTTTTTCTTTTCTTTTTTGTGCTAGGGATGGAACCCAGGGCCTTGCACATCCTAAGCACATTCTCTGTCACTGTGCTCCGTCCCCAGCCCTGATTTTTCTTTTTATACGTGAAAGTGTGTAAAGACATGGAAGATTGGATTCATAACCAACAGCAGGAATGCCTGGTGGGCTGAATGCCAGTTTTTGCAAGACTGGGGACTGACCCCAGGGCCTCATGCTAGGCAAACACTTTGCCACTGAGCTATATCTCAGTCGTGTGTTATATACTTTAAATGAATGAACTTTAAAAAAAATTTTTTTTTTTGGTACCAGGAATTGAACCCAGGGACACGAATCACTTACTGAGCCACACCTCCAGCCCTTTTTTTTTTTTTTTTTTCAAATTTTTAGTGTTTATTTTTTAGTTTTCGGCGGACACAACATCTTTGTTTGTATGTGGTGCTGAGGATCGAACCCGGGCCGCACGCATGCCAGGTGAGCGCGCTACCACTTGAGCCACATCCCCAGCCCCCCCTTTTTTTTATATTTTATTTAGAGACAGGGTCTCCTTAAGTTGCTGAGGCTGGCTCTAAACTTGTGATCCTCCGGCTTCAGTCTTCTGAGCTGCTAGGATTATAGGCGTGCACCACTGCACCTGGCAAAGTGGATGGAACTTGATAGTGTATAAATTATATCTCATTAAGTTGTATTTTTAACAAAGCTGGTGAAAATTAGTGACATAATATTCAGCCAATCTGAAATCTTGATGAGAAAAGACATGCTTAGATAAACCCCTTAAATGCTGCATGCAATGATATAAAAATATCCCCTAAAATACACTTTTTTTTTTTTTTTTGCAGGGCTGAGGATTGAGCCAGAGCCTCTTGCATGCCTGGCAAGCCCTCTACCACTGAGCTACATCCCTGGCCCCCACACATGTCTTAGAACCAATGAAATAAAGGCTGAGGAATGAAATCTAGGCAGGCCAACTTCGGAAGCTGCCAATGCCCATGTCAACACTTAAATGGAATCTTCAATTACTGCATCACATTTAGAACTGTTGTGAAGTAGGTTCCTGCATACAGTGCACAGTGCTGAACACACACGATGAAAACCTACCTCTTCTAGGCTGAGCTGCAAATACTCGAAGATCCTATACGGGTTTCTTCTGCATGTTAATTTCTGTCTTTGCACCACCTGATGAGAAAACAATACAATCAAACACACCCGGAACACACGGAAACACCCCAGGCCACAGAGAAGAAGAAACATTTTGCAAGGAACATTTTTCTCATGATTCTCAAGATGCACATGCTGTTGGGTAAATACTATTAAAAATGTAGATTTTTTTTTTTTTAACAACTTATGAGAGAATGCAGCTTTGATTTTCCCAATTGTTTTAATTTTCCTTTTTCTCATGAAAATTTTTTTCCTGCAGATCATTTTGTGGAATTCTTGTGTTTTATTTTGTTCACTTGTAAGCATGTGTCTGATTTTTTTTTTTGGGGGGCGGGGAAGGGAGTACTATTAGTACTAGAAACTGTACTGGGGGGTGGGGGCCCGACCACTGAGCTACATCCCAGCCCTCTATGTAAATCACCTATTTATTTATTTATTTACTCACTTATTTATGCAGTGCCAGGATTAACTGCTACTTTGATACGGGGTTTCATGGGGTTGCCCAGGTTGGCCTCTAACATGCCATTCTCCCACCTCAGCTGGGATTACAGGTGAGCACCACTGTACCTGGTGGGCTCTGCTCTCCTTAACTTACTTCCTCTTTGGGGGCGTTGTCCCCCTCGCTCACAGCACACACCTCTTCTTCCACAACGAGCACATACTCATGGTCAGGCCCTCTCTCTCCAGCATGGATAAGACCTGTTTGCTGACCGCCAGCCTCAGGCTGAAGGCCACACAGGGGGATGAGGACATCTCGGGGCAGAGGTGTGGTGTCCTCTACCACCCTCGCATCGAGGCCCTTGGTGGTGAGTGGGTCATGCACAGAGTCCTCCTGCAGGCCGTCATCTGAGTGCCTGCTGGGCTCGTGTGACTGTCCAATGTCTTCATTCATCTCAGAAAGGTTCTCGGTGCCCACTGTGCTTCCCAGGGTGGAAGCTATCTCAGGGTCAGGTGCATCATGCACCTGAACCTCTTTGTTCCTTCTGACACAAGGATGTTCAAGCGGTTTTGTGTACTCTTTGAGGATCTCACACACAGTTCTCGGGTCCTGCCCCTGTCTGCGCATGAGACTTGCGGCCCATTCGACACGACGCTGGTACCTGCCAGGGGAAATATTGTTGGTAACTGTTGAATTTTAAAACTGAAGACAACAAAACATATAAAAAAGACTGGAAGAGTTAGGCACGGTTTCTCACGCCAGTAATCCCGGCAGCTTGGGAGGCTGAGGCAGGAGGATCACAAGTTCAAGTCCAGCCTCAGCAATTTAGCAAGACCCTAAGCAACTTAGTGAGACCCTGTCCCAAAATAAAAAATAGAAAAGGCAGGAGATGTGGCTCAGTGGTAAAATGCCTCTGTTCAAGTCCCGGTTAAAAAAAAAAAAAAAAGATTGGAAGGTGGTCTGCTAAGTGCTAAGACATTTGAAGCAATTTCACTGAATGCTGGATTACAGGTAGAGGTGTTCTTTATACCTTTCTGCATTTTCTACATGCTCTGCAATAAGCATGTACACTTTCTTGTTTTTATTAATAAAGTTTCATTTCATTTGCTTGATTTGAAAAAAAAAATCAGCCCCCATTTTGCACAGTATGAAAATGTGTGCAATTTAAAACTGAAAGACACAAGTAAATAAACAGAGACAATGGCTACCTTTTATCAGGATTTGCTTTGCATCATTTTCAATTTTGGCTACTGCAGTGTTTTCTGATAGATATTCCATTCATCCTACAACTAGGCCCTTTGTTAAGTATTGGAAACCAAAATGAGAATGTCAATATTTTTTTTAATTTTTTTTTTTTTTAGTTGTCACTGGACATTTATTTATTTGTATGTGGTGCTCAGAATCGAACCCAGGGCCTCACACATGCCAGGCAAGTGCTCTACCACTGAGCCACAGTCACAGCCACAGCCCTTCCATAAATATTTTTCCACAGGATCTAACAGTTTCTTCACCATATTGGAAATTATTTGGCTTATCTAGCTATGTGCAAATATTCTAAAAGAAATGGTCCATTCCCTCTAATAATTTTCACAGTATATTTTAATGACAAAATGCACATAGTTTCTAACACTTGAAGGTCTAAACACTTCCACCTGAACACTTCCAGTACTATATAAAAAAAAAAAAAAAAAAAATCACAAGTACAAGCCCTGCCTTCAGAAAAAAGGGCCCATGCCAAACCACGCTGCAGGCTGCGTTCCCGTGCTTAAGAGCCACTGTGTTGAAATCTGAGGACCAACAGAAGGCTAACGAAACTGGAGACATCCAGCACTTTCTGCCTCTGCCTTCAGCATCAGTCTGTAAAGACCCTAGGAGACGGCCAGGCACAGTGGTGCACTCGTTCATCCCAGCAGCTCAGGAGGCTGAGACAGGAGGATGCGAGTTCAAAGCCAGCCTCAGCAAAGGAGAGGAGCTAAGCAACTCAGTGAGACCCTGTCTCTAAATAAAATACAGAATAGGGCTGGGGATGGGCTCAGTGGTTGAGTGCCCCTGAGTTCAATCCCCGTACCAACAAAAAAGAACCCAGGACATCACCGGCTGGGAGAGGACAGGTGAAACTTTACTCCCCACCTTCCCTTATCTGAGTACAGTTGGCTGAGTATGTCACGGTCTGTGAAACGCTACAGCTCCCACCCTTAACTGGGAGACTGGCTTCTGCTATACCTAAGAGACCCGTGGCTGCTCACCAGGGATCATCAGAGTCCCCACGCTGTCCACACCCGTGTTTGTCCTGTGGGTAGATGCGCACGCATCCCTACACACCAGGAACTGAGTCCTAAAGATTGAGAGCCGGCAAGGACACACACCCCCACGATGCAGTAGGAAGTAGTGACGTTGGCATTACCCACGTTCTGTGTGTCGCCGTGACTTGGCCACTTGCAACTGTGTGACAAAACAAATCACCTTTGTGCTTTCATTTTCCTAAACCCATAAAACAGGGACCCTTCTACTACTATCTACAGGGACTTTCACAGGGATTACCTTTTATATTTGGTGGGAAAAGAAGATAGCTGGTGTCCTGTCACCTGTGACCTGGCCACTTGTGCAGAGTTAAAAGCACTTTCACAGGAGAGATCTAAGAAGGATCCTAGCTCTTCCTACCAACGACAGCACTGGCCCTGCAGGCTTCCTGGGTCTGTGAGTCTCCATTATTTGAACACAAATTTTTCTGTCAACGTATATTTTTGTGAAGAAGAGATATACCCCCTACCCCAGCGCTGGACTTGAGCCCAGGGTCCTGTGCCCGCCAGGCAGGCCATGAACTACGCTCCCACCACAAGACCCAGAGGTTCATCAACTCACCCACCCTTTCAGGGAGAGCCATGGAATCAAACCCAGGGCCTCACACATATAAGGCAAGTGCTCTACCCTGAACACTACAGCCCTCATCAAATTCCTTAACTCACAATATACAAAAGACCACTGAATTAAAAGTCCAGCGCTGGGGCTGGGCACAGTGGCATATGCCCGTAATCCCAGCAACTCAGGAGGCTGAGGCAGGAGGATCACAAGTCAGAGGCCAGCTACGGCATCCAGCTTAGATCATAATTGTAATGCGGGTCATAACTTACTTCTTTGATGAGATTACAGGCAAGTCTGTCTTCATATCTGTAACAACAAAGCAGTTCTATTAGTTTCAGACAAATTTTCCTTAAGAGAAATAAAAAAAAAACACTTTACAGATCTAAGAAAGAAAGTCGCATGCCCACGAGGTTAACTGTCCTGTGAGCCACACCAACGGGCACTACGTGCCATCCTTCCCTGCACCCATGTGCCTGGCAGGTTCTGCTCACCAAACAGGCCGCTCTCACTGAGCTCTGATTGACCTCAGAATGCTCTGCTCAGCGCTCTGCCAGGCAGTGGTGACGTGGTTAGAGACCCCCACCCTCCGACCGCTCACTCCAGCGACCGCTCACTCCAGTGTCCAGACAGGAGCCTGCAGGCTGAAAGGGGCTCTGCCCTTCTGTGTGCCTGCAGCCAGAGAGGCACACTCCACAACGGGGGGTCTGGGGTGTGGGCTTGGAAGTTCTGGACCCCGGCTCTCGCTCCGGCCATCAGGAGTGGCGCATCTTTCTTTCTAAGTGCTCACTGGGGTTCTGTTCTGTTCTGTTCTGTCCCTAACTCATTCTGCAAATCAGGAGACTAGGGAGCAGCAGGGTTGCTGTTGACAGCTGATGAATTTCGGTGGTTTATTAAGCAGCATCATCATGACAAGAGAAAACTAGCAGAGTGGACCCTATTAGGATTGCACGAATTAATGTACTTAAAATACTTATTTAAAGTTACTTAAAATAGTTTCTCCCTGGGTGGTTACACAACCAACAGTGATATACTAATTCAGTTGTTTCACCTTTGTTTAAAAAAAAACAAACAAACAAAAAAGGTTATTTTTTACAATTTCTTTGTTTCCAGGCAGGGGGTGCAAGTCTGTAATCCCAGCTACTCAGGAGGCTGAGGTAGGAGGTCTGCAAATTTGAGGCCAGCCTCAGCAACTTAGAGAGAACGTGTCTTAAAATAAAAAGCACCAGGGATGTCGCTCAGTAGTAAAGAGTTCTTGGGTTCAGCCCCCATCCCAAAAACAAACTAAACTAAACTTAGTTTTGCAATCATGAATACATTTACAAGATTTCCAAGTCCAATCTATAAGGTCTCACGTCTCTCCATCCACAGGCATTTAAAAAAATTATGGTTTATCCTTTCATATTAATTTTTAAATTGATTTTTTAAATCAAATATGTAAAACATAAAAATTGTCGCGGGCTGGGGATGTGGCTCAAGCGGTAGCATGCCCACCTGGCATGCGTGGGGTGCTGGGTTCAATCCTCAGCACCACATAAAATAAAATAAAGATGTTGTGTCCACCGAAAACTAAAAATAAATGTTTTAAAAAAAATTTTCTCTCTCAAAAAAAAAAAAATAAATAAAAATAATTAAAAATTGTGCTTTTTTTTTTGATTGAACTCTGGGGCACTTGACCACTGAGCCATGTCCCCAGCCCAATTCTGTATTTTATTTAGAGACAGGGTCTCACTGAGTTGTTTAGGGCCTCGCTTTTACTGAGGCTGGCTTTGAACTCTCGATCCTCCTGCCTCAGCCTCTTGAGCCTCTGGGATGACAGGTGTACACCACTGCGCTCAGCAAAATTGTGCATATTAATGGGGATAATGTGATGTTTTCACACATGTCTACATTGTGTAATGTTGAAACTGGATTAAATATCTCCTCAATCCTTTCATATTTAAAAAGCATAATATGGGGCTGGGGTTGTAGAGTGCTTGCCTACCATGTGTAAAAGCCCTGGGTTCGATCCTCAGCACTACATTAAAATAAATAAGTAAAATAAAAGTCCAACTACAACTAAAAAATAAATATTAAAAAAAAAAAGCATAATATATATTTTCCTGTTTGGATAAACGACAGCACACTGCACATTCCTTTACCTGGCTCTCTTCCTTTAATAACGCACCCTAGAGGCCCCTCCTGTTGCGTCTCTACAGTACTCACTACATGAACATGCTGGAGTTGAGGCCAGTCTCCTTTTTGATGGACATTTGGGCTGCTCCCTTTCTTTGGATAGGAGAGACAGTGCTGCCAGATAGCCCTGTGCTGTTTCTTTTCAACTTTTGCTAATGTCTCTTTAAAATAAATTCCTGAAGTGGGATTGCTAGGTTAAAAGTAAATTTATATGTTGAGACAATCAGATATGCAAACACAAAACGATGAAATTGGACCGTCACCTCGTGCCTTCTACAAAAATTAACTCAAAATGCAACAAAGTCCTAACTCAAAAGCTAAAACAACAAAACTATTAGGAGACAGAAAAGCCAAACCATACTGTGTGTATGCACAAATATGGAACAAGGAATGCTACCACTAAGTACGATTATAATACACCAATAAAAAATATGGGCCCCCCCCCCAAAAAACAAGAAAAATCTGTCAAAGTTGGATTTGGTGATAGTTTTTTAAATATAAGACCAAAAGTACAAGCAATCAAAGAAAAAAAATAGATAAATTGGACTTTACTGAAAACAAAAACCATTTCACTTCCATTAGAATGACTATTAAAAATTAAACATAGGGCTGGGGTTGTGGCTCAGTGGTACAGCGCTTGCCTAGCATGTGTGAGGCACTGGGTTCGATCCCCGGAACCACGTAAAAATAAAAAATAAAGGTATTATGCCCATCTACAACTAAAAAATAATAAAAAAAAATTAAACATAAAATGACCATATGATCCAGTAATTCCACTCCTGGGTAATATGCAAAGAAGTGAAAACCGAGAGTCAAACAGATACTGTAGACCAATGGCCACAACAGAATTATTTGCAACAGCCTAAATGTAGAAACAATCTGTTTGTTAATAGATGAATGAATTAAAAAAAATGTGGTTCGTCCATACAGTGGAATATTATTTGGTCACGAAAAGGAATAGAGTTCTGTTATCTGTTAGGGAGGGATGAACCTTGGAAACATTACGAAGCCAGGCACAAAGGAACAGATATTGTAGGATTCCACTTATATATAAAATATCTAAATAGGTAAATTCATAGACAAAAATGTAAAGGTTCCCAAGGACTGAGGGAAGAGAGAAATGAAAGAAAAGAAAAAAGTCAACGTGTATACAGTTTTGTGAGACACTGTTAAATTCCTCTAAGGGCTACAGCATTTGCACTCTGACCAGCAATACAGCCAAGCCCGTGTTTCTCAGGGCTTCAGCAATGGAGCATGTGGCCAAACTTTTGGAATTCTGCCTGATTGCTGAAATGGTATCTCAGTGCATTTTTTATTTCTCCACTTTTTTTCTTTTTTTAATATTATTTTATTTTTTTAATACCTTTGTTTTATTTAAGTGGTGCTGAGGATCGAACCCAGTGCCTTGCACAAGCTAGGCAAGTGCTCTACCACTGAGCTACAGCCGCAACCCCTTCTCCATCTTCTTATTAATTTTTTTTCCCTAAAAATCTGGATGTAGTGGTGCACATTTATAATCCTAGCAACTTGGGAGTTTGAGGATGGCAAGTTAGAGGCCAGCTTGGACAACTTTAGGTGAACCTGTCTCAAAATAAAATAAAAAATACAAGAGCTGGGGGTGTAGCTCTGTGGTAGAGCAATTGCCCTGGTTCCCTGGGGGTAGGGGTGGGGAATTGAAAAAATCCTTTCTAATTATGCTTGAACATGTTAGTGTTGGTTTCTGCACCCCCACCTCCCACTGGGGATTGAACCCAGGGGTGGTTTACCACTGAGCTACACCCCCATCCTTTTTTAATTTTTAATTTTTTTTTTTAAATTTTAAGACAGGTCTTGATAAGTTGCCCAGACTGACCTTGAACTTCCAATCCTCCTGTTTCAGCCTTCAGAGTCACTGGGATCACAGGCGTGCACCAATGCACCTGGATATTGATTCTTCAATAACTACCATGAGCGTTCCTTAGAGAAATACACAAAGATAAAATAATTTTAAATAAGGCAAAGAGAACAAGCTAGTGAGACCTATGCATATTAGTATGTCTTAATAAATATGTCAATGTCATGTTTCTTGTTATAAGTTCTATTTTTGAAAATAAAATACAAAACTCATTCTACATAGTACCACAGGTAAGCAAGCACTTAATTACTGCCAAGCACACAGGACTCTGCCAGGCAAAGCTTAATAGCAAAGTTTGAACAACACTTTTGATAATTCCAGAAATAAGGTAAAATACATCTTCAGCAATCATAAGAACGCTTTTTTTTGGGGGGGTGGGGCACCAGGGATTGAACCCAGGGGCACTCAGCCACAGAGCCCCATCCCCAGCCCTATTTTGTATTTATTTAGAGACAAGGTCTCACTGAGTTGCTTAGGGCCTTGCTTTTTGCTGAGGCTGGCTTTGAATTTGAGATCCTCCTGCCTCAGCCTCCTGAGTCATGGGGATTACAGGTGTGCGCCACCACACCCAGCAAGAACCCTTTTCTTTTGATAAGAATTATCTTAGTTGCTCTTCTGGACAGTAAAATTGTCAGTGTGCCCTGTCACTCTCCTCTAGAACTTTACTCACCTGAGATGTGTGATCACAAATGAAAGAAAATGCTAATTTGCCAAAGAACTGAATGATGTACGAGCTTACCTTTCCACCTAGCAACCAGCTTAGGATCTGAAATTGTGAAGTTTGGTCGGCTTCTGGAAAGAATGCCTTTTCCAAAGTAGCCCTTTTGAAAAGAGAGAAAACAAAGTTCATGTTCAGTTACCCACTTTTTGTAGCTGGGGAGGAATATCAGCATTCGGGCTAACAAGAGGTTCACCCCACTTTTCGCTGCTCTGTTTCCCCTCTGACAATGTCACGGTGACTCGTGTTGACTTCAGGGTTTTATGTCTCTAATCTTTTGAAGAATAAAGGTTAAGTTTCAGTGCCCCTCATTTACCTCATTACTAATGATTTCAACCTGGAAATGACAGATTGAGGGTGACAGAGACGTCTTCTCCTTTTGGTCATAAACACATAGAGGGTTGAAATAATAAAAGGGACACCCTTTACCTTCCACTGTAGGTGGCATAACTAAGTAGAATACAGACTGAGCATGCACTTAGGAAGCCGCTTGCAAATGAAGGCTTCTCTGCGGAGCTGTGGGGAGACAGGACCTAGTGGGGCCTTCGCATCTCACCAGTGAGAAGGCCACCCACTCTTGTAAAACATCTCCAGAGAAGGCACACGAACAGAGACAGGAAGCTCACCAGTGGAGGTCCTGGCTGGGAGTGGGTGCAGGGGTGAAGTGTGACAGCACAAAGAACTTTCTATGGCGATGGGGACATTTTAAAACCAGACCGTGGGCTAGGGATGCAGCTCAGCAGTAGAGCTCGTGTGGAGCATACACGATGCCCTGGGTTTGGGAAAAAAGCACCTAAAATATTAAAATAGGGGCTGGGATTGTGGCTCAGCGGTAGAGCGCTCGCCTAGCATGCACAGGGCCCTGGGTTCGATCCTCAGCACCACATAAAAATAAATGAATGGAATAAAGGTATTGTGTCCAACTACAACTGAAAAAAAAAATAAATTAAAAAACAATTAAAATAGGATTGTGATGACGGCTGCACCACTTTATGAATTTATAATCCCTGGACTAGATATTAACAATGGGTGGGGGGCATAAGCCACACAGCAGTCAAGCTGGTGGTAAAAATGCCCTGGCGATGAACAGGCTACAGAAAATACGAGAACGAAACAAAACAGACCATGAAACAGAAAGAGAGAAGGCCAGCGACCAGCCAGCCCTCACACAAACCCATTAGTGCTAGACAACAGTAAAAACTAGAACTTGACCTCATCTAAGAACTTGCAGGGCCAGGAGAGGAGCAGAGGAGGAGCCGGGGCCCACTCTGAAGCCACCTCTGTCTGTCTGTCTGGGATCAGTGCCACTCTGTGGCTATGGCTGGGACTGCGATGGCAAGTGGGGGCTTCCTGTGTTTTGCTTCTCACATTCCCACACATCCCGGGTCTTCTGTTTGTCTGTGCAGTGAACATGCGCGGCCTCTGACAGATGAGAACGGCCAGCCCACTGACCCCACCGCACGTCTGAGGCAGGTCTGCATCTGCCACCTCATCACCCCCTGGGTGCACGGACCACGGTGCGAGAGAGGAAGCCGCACTCTGATGGTCAGTTCGAGGGGACAGGAGGGAAGGGACAGCCTGCTCAGGGTCAGGCACCTGCCAAGGTCGAACTTACCTTCCCATACAGCTGCTTAATGTCCTCGGGGCTCCTCACAATCACGTTGTTGTTGATTATTTCTGCACGGAAGATTCTGAATTTCTTAGGATCTTGGTCCTGACCAAGAGGGACTGGCAGTGGAGACTCGTAATTCTCACACACCCTCCTTTTCCTCTTTGGGGCGTGGAAAAGTGCTTCCGCCATTCTTCAGGGCAACTGTTCTTTAAAGAGCAGATGAGGAGGAGAGTCCATCAGTAGTGACAATGATCAGAAGCACAGAGCCGAAAACTTCGTAGTCTGTGCTAAAACCAGCATTTATGGGCTGGGGTTGGGGCTCAGTAGTAGAACGCTTGCCTAGCACTCGTGAGGAACCGGGTTTGATCCCCAGCACCAATACAAAAAACCTAAATGAACAAAATAAAGGTATTTTATTTTCTGCAACTAAAAATATAAAAAAAGCCCAGTATCTATAAAGTGATTAATTAAGAGGCATAGAAAAATCAAGAACATGGTATAAGTTGGGTGCAATGGTGCACACCTGTAATCCTAGCAGCTTGGGAGGCTGAGGCAGGAGGATCGAAAGTTCAAAGCCAGCCCCAGCAACCTATCAAGGCACTAAGAAACTCAGTGAGACCCTGTCTCTAAATAAAATACCAAATAGGGCTGGGGATGGGGTTCAGTGGTTGAGTGTCCCTGAGTTCAATCCCTGGTACCCCTCCTCACCCAACAAAAGAACACGATACAGCTGGGCACATCCTGGCTGTTTAGGAGGCTGAGGCAGGAGGATCGTAAGTTCATGGCCAGCCTGGGCAACTCACTGAGACTCTGTCTCAAAATAAAATAAAAAAGTCTCAGTGGTAAAAGGCCCTGGGTTTGGTTCTCAGTACTGCAAAACAAAAGAAAAAAACAAGGGGCCAGATTGTGGCTCAGTGGTAGAGCGCTTACCTAGCACGCGCGAGGCTCTGGGTTCCATCCTCAGCACCACATAAAAATAAATAAATTAATTAAAGATATTGTGTCCAACTACAGCTAAAAAGTAAATATTAAAAAAAAAAAAAATTCACAGTCACCAGGCACATCTCAATCCTCTGAACTCCAAGAAGCCAGCAGTTTTATGTCTAACTACAGTGGACCACACTGAGGCTAGGTCTCCTAGGAGCAAGCACAATAGGGTTTTTGCCTTAAGGATTACGGCCATTGTTTCACTCAGCCAATAGGCATTTACTGAGCACCTTCCTGGGGCTCCTAATATTCAGAGGTGCAGGGGCTATCAAGATAAAACCAAGGGAGGCCTTATCCTCAACAAATTAAACCTAGTGAGCACCTCATTTTCCCAAAAAGGACCTTAAAATCTCGTTTAGACATTGGGCCAATCAGCTCCCAGTTTAAAATCAATGCAAAACCCTCCAATGCCCAGGCCTCCTGAGTGGTGGGCACGTGCAGACTGTCTGCAGGTGTCTGAAGCCTCCCTCACCCTCAAGGTCATAAGCTGGAACCACCTACTAGTCACCCAGTACCACGAGGGAGAAAAGGATGCTGAAGGCTGTCTGTCACACCCTTCCGGGCCTTGCACTTGATCCCAGCCAACAAACAAGCTTATAGCACACACAAAAGCAAGTCAGAGATAGCAACATGGGGGGGGGGGTTTGTGTGTGTGCCGTCCTATAAAGGAAGAACGTCAAGTTGAGCGCCTTGTACAATCCAGAGTCATTTAACTCAGGAGAGCCCAAGTGCATGCAAAAGCCAATCACTGGCTCAAGGAGCAGAGGATGGCCTGTCAAGAGGTGGGAGGCAGGAACCTGCTGTTCCCTCAGCATCGGGTCTGGACTGGATTTAAATTGAGATTTAAACTGAGATGAATGAATGTGTCGAGTCATACACATATTTAACCTGCCAGACTCCAAGCCCCTCACAAGGGACAAAAACGGTCAGCTCATCTAGGTGCCCATATTCCACACCAGCACCTCTCAGGCAATGGACAAGGGCCTGGGACATCCAGGATATGGCCACAGCTAGGGGAAGAGGGGGCGAGCAGCTTCGAGGTTTTCATGACCACTAAGAAGAAATTAAAAGCCTTGTCCAATGCGTGATGATGCCTTTGTGTTAGTGCTCAAGGAAGAAGTTGTGGAACTTTTTCTGTGAAGACACAGAAAAACACAGTATGAAGAAGAGGTAGAAGAATTGATAAATGGATTACAAACAAAATAGGAAGTCAGAACCTTCCTAGAATTGCCAATCTGTTCTAGCAGCAACATGCTAGAATAGTTTTTCTTCTTTCCTTTTCCTTGATCCCCCACCCATAGTACTGGGGACTGAATGTAGGGCCTCGCACATGCTAGGCAAGCACCCTAACAGTGAGCTGTATCCCCAGCCCTTTTTATTTTGAGACAGGGTCTCGCTAAGTGGCTGAGGCTGGCCTTGAACGTGTGATCCTCCTGCCTCAGCCTCCTGAGTAGCTGGGATCACAGGCGTGAGCCACCATGCCTGTTTAATTACTAGTTAAGATCCCTCAACGGGATACATGCTGAGCATCACTGTATGTACTGATGCACACACCTATTGCTGTGTAGTGTTTATGACAAAACCATGCCTACTGTATACTGATGGGCAAGGGCACTGTGACGAGACTTTCACTTTACTTGATGACTTAGGCCACCACCCAGGCCAACTATCACGTCTAGTACTCAACTGAAAAACAAAAAACAATTTATTCCAAAACTGCAAATAAACATCGCTGTGTTAGCGTTTTCTGAAGCAGGATGTCGGTCCCCAGTAAGGGAACTCTCAGGGATTTCCAGGAACAATCTGGACTTATCAGATTGTCAGGTTTATCGCTGAACCTCTGTTCAGGTCTTGCCTTGTTTTATTTTTTTTGTGGATTGCTGTCATATCCTTAAAAAAATCAAGATTGAATTGTGAGACTGATTTACTGGATCTAAAATCTGACAGTGGAAACCTGAGATTCGGATGATTCTAAGGCACCACCAAGTTTGGGGATGGCCGCCCTCTGAAAACTCCTTCATATTTAAATCAGTCAAATTTGGTGGACTTCAGCTACGTCAAAGCAATGTAGCTGAGTCCTAAGATCAATGATCTGCAGTTAGGAATATTGGTTACTGATAATTGGATTTCTCTGGAGCATGCTAGTATAACTAGTATTGCATTCTTGGTAATATCTTAAATATTCTCCACTTCTTGATAAAAATTAATTACTTCCTAATAAACCCTTGTTTATTAGTCAAAGATCTTCAGGAAACAGAATGAACAAGATACATACAGTTAGACTCTATAAACACTAGTTCTATATCCATGGATGCATCCCTGAGAGAAAAGATGCAGGAATAAAAGTGACTATATGGTAAATGTGTACTGTCCTTCTCCCTGCAGACTCTTGTCATTATTTCCCCAACAGTAAATTTAACTACCATTCATATAGAATTTACATTGTAAGATAAGTGCTCTAGAGATGGTTTAAGTATACAGAAGGTTGTGCTGAGGTTACAAACAAAATGACAGCACTTCGTAGAAGGGACTTGAGCATCCTCAGATTTCGGTATCCACTGGGAGTCCTGGAACCAATTCCCTGTGGATGCCAAGGGAAAACTTCACTAACCCAAGACAAGGGTCCCTACAAAAAAGAGTTAACCTCAATCCAGTTTCAGGGTGAATTGTGCCTATGTACTGTGTGCAGTGGTGCACACCTGTAATCCCAGCAGCTTGGGAGACTAAGGCAGGAGGATCACATGTTCAAGACCAGCCTCAGCAATTTAGCAAGGTCCTAAGCAACTTAATGAAACTGTCTCAAAAAATAAAAAGGGATGGCAGTGTGGCTCAGGAGGGTTCAATCCCTGGCACCAAAAAAACAAAGAACAAAAAGTCCTGCCTATGTGACAATAATATGTGCATCAAAACTTTGGCTCAAATCATGAGTCTTTCATACATGCAAGCTGTCATTATTGTTCTGTGGCCTTGCACAACCCAGTTTCTTCATCTTCAAATTGAACAGGACTGCAGGTCTGTGACGCAAGTCCTCAAAATGTCAAATACAGTCAAGCATAGGGGGCACATCCCCGTAATCCCAGCTACTTTGGAGGCTGAGGCCGGAAGACTGTAAGTTCAAGGTCAGCCTGGGCAACTTAGAACCTATTTCAAGATAAAAAATAAGGAACTGGGGCTGTGGCTTGGTGGAGTGCTTGCCTGGCACATGTGAGGCACTGGGTTTAATCCTCAGCACCGCAAAAAAATAAAACAATGGTATTATGTCCATTTACAACTAAAAAAAAATAATAAAAAATAAATGAAAAGATCTGGGGATGCAGTTCAGTGATAAAGCACCTCTGGATTCAACCCCTAGTACCATCACCAACAAGAAGTCAAACAGAGAGTCATCATATGATCCAGCGATTCCACTCCTATGTGCAGATTCAGGACTGACAACATATGTTCATGGCAAAATTTGTACACAAAAGTTCACGGCCGTATTATTCATCATAGCCAAAAAATGGAAGCCATCCAAGTGTCCATTAACAAGCTAATTGGCTGACAAAATGTGCTCTATCCATATCATAGAATATTATTTGGCCATAAAAAAGGAAAAAGTCCTGGTACATTCTACAACATGAATCAGCCTTGAAAGTGTTATGCTGAGTGAAAGAAGCCAAGTGGGGGGGGGGCCTGGGGTTGTGGCTCAGAGGTAGAGCACTCGTCCAGCATGCCTGAGGCACTGGGTTCAATCCCCAGCACCACCTAAAAAAATAAAGATATTGTGTCCACCTATAACTAAAAAATACATACTAAAAAAAAGAAGCCAGGTATAAAAGATCACATGAGACTATTAAATATGAACTATCCAGAAAAGGCAAATCCCTGGAGATGAATTAGTGGTTGCCAGGGACTGGGGAAAGGGGAATGAGGAGCCATGCTAATAGTATGGGATTTTTTTTTTTTGGGGGGGGGGTGATGAAAAATGTTTTACAATTAGACTATAGTGTAATAGCTGCCCAATGCTGAATATATTAAGACCACTGAATTGTGTGTGTGTGTGTGTGTATATATATATATATATATATTTTTTTGGATTTATTTATTTTTTTGTGATGTTGAGGATCAGACCTGTACAATGCGCGCGCATGTGACCTATGAGAGCTGAGATCCTCATTTCAAATCACAGACAAGGAAAGGGAGGCTCAAAGAGGACAGGTCATTTATACCCAAAGCCCCCACTGCTCAGGGACATAAGAGGGAGGGCATGGTAACTGGACTGGGCTAAAGAGGAAGCCTGTCTGAAGCACGGGAAAATGAATAGGTAAGACAGGGTCAGTAGCTAGGGAGTTTGCAAGCAAAGGTTGTTTGTCGTTGCTGATTTTCTGGTGCTGGGGATGGAAGCCAGGGCCTTGCACATGCTAGGCAAGTGCTCTACCACTGAGCTACCTCTCCAGCCCTTTATGAGACAGGGTTTCACTTAAGTTGGCCTGACTAGCCAGAAGCTTGTGATCCTCCTGCCTCAGCCTCCCAAGCTGCTGAGATTACAGGCGTGGTGGCCCACGACTGGCTCAAGTACTATTCTTATTCCCAATGTACAGATGAGAAAAGTGGAGGTGGGGGCTGAGTGCTTCTATAAAGGATTGTTACTTTTCATTTCCCAAACCCCATCATGCCTGGGTTAAGTATATTTACTTTCTATCAAAAGCAAGCGCCTGTTCTTTATTCTTTCCTTGTGCCAACAACTTAACACCTTTTAGAGGCTGAGTAAAAGCCTATCCAAGAACAAATGACAGGGGAGGAAATGGTTCCACTTAATTTTTTCCAACCCCCTAGGACCAGGTGCCAAACATGCCTCCCACCCAGCAAAGCTCTCTGTCTCCTGATTTAAAAACACCCAGCTCCAATTGCAATACCTCCTGGGCTCAGGGAAACAAGGATGAAAGGGATAAGGCAAACAAATCCTGCCGCTGGGGAGCTTTCAAGTTAGAACATATAAGACACATAAACAAAGGACCAACCTTTGAAGGGTGCTGTCAGAATTAAATGGGTAATTTAGTGCAGAAGGAACCTTACAAGTCCCACCACTTGGGATGTGCTCACCAGATGGCAGATGCAACTGCAATGAACAAGTGAGCATAGGCCACACTCTGGGCAGCACCACTTTTTGTCTTCACTTGTCCCTTTGATGGTTTCCTTGCATTTGGGTCCCCCTCGCCCCAATCCCACTAGAGGCTGAGGCTCCTCAGGGGCACAGGCACTGATGGACACCCCAAGCCCCTAGTGCAGGACAAGGCCCAGTGTCCCCACGAAGAACCTGAAGACCAGAGACTCCCACCCAGAAGACCCTTACCATAATGAAGCAGAACCCCCCACCATATTTAAAACACACAAGTTCCTCTTTTCTACCAAAAAAAAAAAAAAAAAAAAAAAAACCCTCAATGTGGGATGGGACTTCCTATTTCTTGGGAGGGCTAAGTTACTCTGTTTTGCAAAAACGAAGTGTGGCCGCAGACTTGATGATGTCACTTCTGCTTTTGTAAAACCTGACTAACCTAAAAAAAAAAAAAAAAAAAAAAAAAAAAGGATAAAAAGCACTTTCTGTGAATTCAAGAGGAAAAAAAATAACCTCTTACTTGACTCCTATAAAAATGCAAAGCTCCAAGCCCCCCCTGGAACTTGCAGTCAATAAACCTTCCCGAAAATTCCCGGGGTGTGCAGGCTCCAGGGTCCCGCGTGACACCGAGCGCTACAGGTGGGCGGAGGGGCCTCGCGCTCCAAGCCCGGCCGACCCGGGAAATCGGCCTCTTGGCCCCGGGAAAGTCTCTGGGCCCTTTCCGCCCTCGCCCTGGAGGGCTTCCGTAGGAACCCTGTCTCTTCGGGATGCGGAATTGGCCCACCAGACTGGGCGGCGGCGCTGCACGCGTCGCGAAGCCGCCAGCTCCTCTGGAATCTTACCTTCCTCAGCGCCACGCGCTTTCCGTTACCTGGGAACGCCGGCCGGGGAGGGCGGGCCGACGCCGCGGCCGTCAAGCAGCGCGGCCGCAAAACGAGCCGAGTGCGCAGCCGCAGAACTGCGGCACGCCCCGCCCATCCCGCCGCGGTCTTAGCGGAGTGCGCCTGCGCACGGCCCGAAGGCGGGTGTCCTCTGCACCAGCCGGGCTGCGAGCGGAGGCTGCAGCTGGGGCTGCGGCTCCCGGGTTTCCTTCTTTTCTTGGCGTTGTGCGGACGGCCTCTCTGCACAGATGCTGTTCTCCTTGAGTCCTCTCAGCGATCCTGCAAGAGCCATTTTGGCACCCGAGATACGAAGCTATCTGTGCAATGTCATAAATTCCATTAGAGGGCTGTGGCCCTTCGGGACCCATCTCAGCTCTGGGTGCAACACGCGGGTCGTAGGGCGCATGTGCATAGCTACATCCTGGGGAGGGGGGTGCTCTCTCTACTGGACACGAGACCAAAGCCAGAGTGCTGTGGTTGTTCTGTGCATCTTAACCAGGACCTCAGCCCCAGAGGCCAGCCTAGTTAGAATCTCCATCTCTGCCCTCCTTGACTGTGATCTTGACAGAGTGACTTAACTTTGTGACCCTCAGTTTTCTCTACTGAAAGATGGGTGGTCAGGATTATGAGAGAGGGCCACGCATGGGACCTGTACTAGTTTTTGCTTTCCTGGTTATTTTAAAGGAGGCCCTCGTGGGGAGTCCCATAGACACCTTCCCACAGTTGACTGACAGGTTCTCCAGCGCACAGATCTGGGACGACCGTGGAGGTGGGTGATTAACCCTGGAGAGATGCATGCAGCTGAGTGTTGACAACAGACTTTATAAATTCTGGATCTTCTCCAATGTCCTTTTGCCTCCAGATCTTGGCACATTGTGTGGTCACTGCCTGGAACATCTTTCTCTCTTCTGTTTGCTACAGTTATTTCTGGGCATCCTTTAGATTTCAGCTCAGATCTCTCATCTCTTCCAGGAAACTTCTTGCCTTCTCACACCTGCTTGGGGGACCTCTGTGTTCTGCAATAGTGTCTGACACAGTCTGGATTGTTCCCGTTTGCCGAGCCTCCTTGACCCGACTATGAGCATGATGTGGCATTCACTGGCTGCTTTGGGCTAGGAAGTGCAGGCTTCATATGGGAAAAGGCAAATGAACTTCATGGTTAGAATGTTGAAAGGAAAAAAAAAAGTGGGGTGGACAGGGAGAAGATTGTCTGTCAAGATTTGCAGAATACTAGTATCTTACTCTTTGCCACGGCTATGACAAAATGCCTGAGGCTGAAATTTTTATAAAGAAAAGAGGTTTATGTAGCTCAAGATTCAGGGGCAAATCAAAACTGCAGAATGTGAGAGGGAGAGATCCCATCAAACAGGAAGCCAGCCAGCAACTAGGGAATCAGGCTCAGCCATTTCATTCTCATGAGAACCCATAACACAGAGATCAGTGTTCCCTTCTGAGGGCAGTGCCCCCCAGTCACCTAAGGATGTCCCGCTAGGCCTCATTCTTGAGTCCTACCACCACTCTGAGGTCCAAGCCTGCAACATGTGAATTCATATCCAAACCATTGCAAGTAGTAAAGGAATGGATTGGGCATGAAGGGACAGGCAGGGGAGGGTTGTAATGTCACACCAGAACACGCCAAGTTGGGAAATGCAGGCTGAGTACTTTTTTTTTTAATTTGAAATGCTTGGGACCAGAAGTGTTTTGGATTTCAGAATACTTGCATGTACATCTTGGGAGATGGAAATCCAACTCGAAACAGGAAATTCATTCCCGTCTTATGTACACCTCGTACTCACAACCCAAACGTAATTTTATATAAGGTTTTTAGTGCACAAAAGTAGAGAGAATCATCTAATAAACCTATCACTTTCCAACCTTCAGCCTTTGGTATCTTGTGAGTTTGTTTCTTTTGGTACCAGGATTGAACCCAGGGGCGTTTAACCCCTGATCCACACCCCCTTTTCTTTTTGATTTTTAAAAATCAGCGAGACGGGGTCTTGCTGAGTTGCTTAGGGCCCTTGCTAAGTTGCTGAGGCTGGCTTTGAACTTGTGATTCTCCTGACTCATCCTCCTCGGTTCCTGTAACGACAGGCGTATGCCATCACGCCTGGCTTATTTTTTATTTGGTGACAGTGTCCAGCTAAATCGCTCAGGCTGACCTTGAATTTGTGATCCTCCTGCCTCAGCCTCCAGAGTCGCTGGGATGACAGGAGGGCACCCCTGCGCCCAGCACCAGTGGCGATTTATTGAGCACTTACTATGTGCCAACCATTGTATCCATAATTCTCCTAACACACCAGTGAGATGGGTGTCACCGTACGGGTGAGGCTGCTTCACTTGCTTGTGGTCTCATGATCCAGGTTCCTGGGACCAGGTCCAGAGCTTGGATTCTAGCCTCTCATGTGGATTACCAGGAGGCCGGAGGGCAGCTTTCGATAAAGAAATATAAACAGAGCTCGCACAAAGTGTTGGATGGGGGGTGGTCAGGAAAACAAAAGAGAGAGGGCCTGGAGGGCTTCCCGGAGGAGGTGGCCCCTGAGCTGAACCCGGAAGAAGGGTTCACCTAGGGGGGGAAGTAGGATGAGCCTTGCAGATGGGATCTGGCTCAGGGGAGGCCCACGTGGGAGGCTGGGATGGGCTTTGAGGTTTTGGAGCCAGGGAGGAGCTGGGCCCGGGCGGGGACAGGAGGTCGAAGCTGTGATAAGGTCTGATAGGTAGGGCTGGGCCTGGTTGTGGAGGCGCTTGAATTCCAGGCTTGGCTTTTGGACTTTACCCTGTAGACAATGGGGAGCCACTGGCATTTCTGAGCAGGGCTGGGCCGCCCCAGCCGTCGCCCCATTGTTTCCCTGCGGCTGGGCCAAGCCCTGCAGTACCTGAGGGCGTCCACCAGGTGGGGGTGTTTCAGCAAATTTCAACCTCTCGGGCTGCAGAGAGGAAGCGAGCCAGGACCCCAAGAAGGATCCAGGGCTTCTTCCCAGACAGACAGACAGACAGACAAATGCAAAGGCTCTGAAGCAAAAATAATAATAATAATAATAATAATAATAATAATAATAATAATAATAATAATAATAATAATAAATAAAATAAAATAAAATCAGGGGTATTTGTGCGACTTTGCTCTGCTGTTAAGACAAAAGTTTAGCTAATTTCTCAGGTTTGCAGAGAAACCGTCCAGATGAGCAGGCTGCGGAGGTTGGTCACAATGTCCTGTCTAGCTCCCAGGTCCCACGACAGCCTTTTTGAAGCAGTTAGTCCCATCCCATTTTGCAGGCAAAGAAATGGAGGTTCCAAGGGTACAAATGCTTCCTAATTTACCCTGCTGACCCCGGGCTAGGCCAAGGAATCGAGGGGTCCCCACGAGGGGACAGATTCAGGGCTGGGGTCGTGGCTCAGTGGTGGAGCGCTCGCCTAGCACGGGTGAGGCCCTGGGTTCCATCCTCAGCTCCACAAAAAGATAAATTAATGAAATAAAGGTATTTTGTCCATCTATAACTAAAAATAATAATAATGATCATATTAAAAAAAAAAAAGGATTCAGAGAGGAGAAATGACCTCCCCAAGGTCACACAGGGAATAAGTGTCGGAGGGTACATTGGATCCTAGGAATGCCTTGCTCCTGCCAAGTGTCTTCCCACTGATGATCAGACATGTCTTACTTGGGGGTCACTTTCCTGGAGAATTCTTGTGCATATATATCCAAAGAGACACCAAGATTTGTATCAAAGCATGGTGGTTTGTAATTAAAAAAAGAAAGGAAATAGATACATAAAATGTGATGTGAAATGGTCACACACTGGAATACTATGCAGTCATTAAAAGGAACGAATGGAGAAAGATATAGACATTAATATCTGTATCTATAGATCTCAACATGGATAAATTTCAAAAATATGTTTGGTGACAAAGACAAGAGGCAGAATGATAGGAATTCCATGACACCGTTTATGTAAATTAAAATATACACAAAGCAAAGGGGACTTTGGATTTCTTTTTTTTTTTTTCCAACCCCCATGGTCCTGGGGGTTGAACCCAGGGCTTGGCCCAGGCTAGACTAGGCTCCGCCACTGGGCCACACCCCAGCCCTAGATCACTTCTTAACATGGGTCCCGAGACAGACGATGCTCACTCTCAAATGCCAAGTGCCCCAGGTGGAAAATAAGGGCGATTCTGTCTTACGTCTTTTCTCGTCTTCCAGCGCTGTGGTGACCAGCATGTCCCATCCTGAGTGCTACTGTCCTTGGAACACTGTTAATCACTACAAAGAAAGAAAAGGAAATCAAGCTGGGGGCGAGGTGGGGGCACACCTGTCATCCCAGCGGCTCAGGAGGCTGAGGCAGGAGGATCGCCAGTTGGAGGCCAGCCTCAGCCACTTAGCGAGGGCCCTGAGCAACTTCTCCCTTTCTCTCAGAACAACATAAACATGTTCTTTGTTTTGAGTTGCTTTTCTCTTATGTGTGATCCTCTTGGTACGTTCCCCACTTGTGATCCTGGGCTCATCATTTCCCTGGGTGGCTCTGCTCACACAGGACAGAAGGGGAGAAGAGACCCAACAGGGTCCCCAAGATGGCTTTCCCTGCCTCCCTGGGTACATCCGTCCTAGATGTCAAAAGGTCTACATTCCAGGCCAACCAGGAATAATGTCCCCGTCATCAAATTTGAAACCAAATTGCAGCAAAGACATGTTTTTTTTTTTTTTTTTTGCTTCCAGAAAGCAAATAGCTTTTTCTTTTCTTTCTCATTTTTTTTTTCGTCCAAACAAAACATCCTCTTAGGAAGTTATGTGCAATTTGCAATATTTACTTTCCCTTTATTTAATAACAGGAAAGGGTTTGCTGAACTTCTGTTGATTTTTGCATTTCTTTATTAAAATTCTTAAAGGGGGGTTTTGGGGGAACTTAATCAGCAAAAAAAAAAAAGAAAAGAAAAGAAAAATCTCCTCTGCATTCCACAGGAATGGAGGAAACTGGCTGTTTGTTTCAGAGCTGGTTCAGATAGGAACTGGCAATTGGTCCTGTGTTCCAGAACCTTCCTCTGACTCTTTCTTTCACTCTTCCTTCTCTGCTGTCCCCATGTCTCTGAATCCTAGCCCCCCCAGGGCAGCTCTTCTGTGTGCATTTAGCCGATGAGGTAACTGACGTTCCAAGAGGTGGGCGATTTCTAATTATCCAAGGCCCAGAGAGGTCAGGTGTTTTGCTAAAGGTCACACAGCTGGAGGGTGGCAGAGTTGAGATCCGAGCTGTGCTTTGCCTCCTTGCTGGGGGGGCCAAGAGCAAAAATTCATGATTCCTGTAATGGAATAACATCTTTCCCTTCAAAGTTTCAAATTCAGGTAGCTTTTATATTATCATTGTAATAGAAATTATGATATTTATATATATATATATTATGTGGTTGTTATGTCTGCTTCTGGAATGGGGCCTTATAGAGAAGGTTTTTATCAATAACAAGGCGATATAATGAAGTTCTGATGTCCTCGGTTTATATGTAAGGAGACCGAGGTCTAGAGAGAATAAGAGATTTATTACCAAGGCCCTGGGAGACCAGAATGGGAATCCAGATTTCCTGATTCTCTCCAGAGCCAGCATTATGCTGGAGGTCAAGGTCAACTTGATAGCCCGGGCGTGGTGGTGCACACCTGTCATCCCAGTGGCTCGGGAGGCTGAGGCAGGAGGATCTCAAGTTCAAAGCCAGCCTCAGCAAAAGTGAGGCCCCAAGCAGCTCAGTGAGACCCTGTCTCTAAATAAAATGCAAAATAGGGCTGGGGATGGGGCTCAGGGGTCAAGTGCCCTTGGGTTCAATCTTTGGTACCAAAAAAAAAATCACACAAGGTATTTCACATCAAAGTTCTCATGATCCAACCCGACGGGATGCTCTAGAAAGCTAAACTCTCACACAGTCTGGCAAAGGTCCTGAGGCCCAGAAATGACACCGGCCAGACATTTGAGCTGGGTATTAAAGAACAAGAGGCCAGGTTGGTGGGGGAGGGTATTCCAGAGAGGAGCAGCTACGGAGCAGAGGCCCAGAGGTGTGACCATACGTGTCACATTCAAGAACCATCAAGCTAGGCACAGTGGGCGCATGCTTGGAACTCCAGCTCCTGGGGAGGCTGAGGTAGGAGGATGGCAAGTGGGAGGCCAACCTGGCAACGTAGTGAGATCTTGTATCAAAATATACTCAATAAAAAGGGTTGGGCAGGGGGCTGGGGATAGAGCTCAGTTGGTAGAGGGCTTGCCTCACATGCACAAGGCCCTGGGTTCAATCCCCAGCATGCCCAAAAAATAAAAATTAAAAAGAGGCTGGGGGTGTAGCTCAGTGGTAGAGAACTTGCCTATCAGGCATGAGGCCCTGGGTTCGATTCCTAAACACTGGGGGAAAAAAATCCAGCAGAAGCCAGGCAGGTACTGAGAGTCAGCTACTTGGGAGGCTGAGATAGGAGGATCACTTGAACCCAGTACTTTGAGGCCAACCTGGGAAACCCAGCAAGACCCCCACCTCACAGATCAAAAAACCATCCAGTGGTCGGCTAGGGACAGAGCAAGTCTGGAAAGAAAAGTTAGGGTCAACTGTGAAGGGCCTTGCCTTCTGTCCTTAGGAATTTGGATTTTTCTTAAGGCTGGCCTCCCACTTGCGATCCTCCTGCCTTAGCCTCCACTCTGGCTGGGATTACAAGTGTGTGCCACTAGGCCTGCCTGAATGTGGTCCTCTATTAAAAGAGAGACTGCATCCATCTGAAGAAAGGTTGGAGAGCCAGGGAGGCAGAAGAAGGAAGAGAGGAGGAGGCTCTCTCAGGCCAAGGATTCGGTGGATCCCAGGGGTAGGGTCTCTCCTGCCCTGATTCCACAGAACCCTGGCACCCCGTCCCCCACCCCTCCCTGCTCCCACTCTGTGCTCCCCGGGCGTCCACATCCATCGTTCTGATTTGAACTTGGCTTTCCGTGGACGGTGCCTACAGGGAGCTGACGTGTTGGCTGAGGAGACGTGTATCCGGTCCCCTTTGGCAGTTACATTTCTCTCGTTGTAAATTAGTAAATTGGGAACAGACGATTCACAGAAGAAGCCATACCAATGACTAATAAGCCTATGAAGGAAAAAAAAAAAGTTCATCCTCACCAGGATTCAAAGAAATGTAAATTCAAACCAAAACTGAGACTTGTTCCCAATCTATTAAGTCAGAAAAGATATATATATATATATATATATATATATATATATATATTATTATTATTATTATCATTTTGCAGTAGGACTAGGGATGGAACGCAGGGACTCACACATGCTAGGTAAGCCCTCTCCCACAAAGCTATATCCTTAACCCTCTTAATTTTACTTTGAGACTGGCTCTTGCTAAGTTGCTGAGGCTGGCCTCAAACTTGCAATCCTCCTGCCTCAGCCTCCTAAGGAGCTGGGATTATAAGTGTGCGCCACCACCGTGCTCGGACACATATTGATTTTTGTTGTTGTTGTTAGTTGTCGATGGATGTTCATGCTCCACCGTGTTGGATAATGTTCATGACAATGAGTTTTCAGCTCTGGCTGATACCATCATGCCCTAGGCCCAGAAGCACCAGGTTCTGAAGGTTTCTTGAAAATTACAGAAGAGAAAAATTCAATTGAAACAGGTCTGACCATCGTCTTAATTTTTTAAAAGGGTTTTTTCTTTAAATATAAATAAATAAATATATATATATGGCTGATTTTTCAACAAGAGGGTCCCCAGGCCCTAGTTGTGTGAAGACAGTGTTTAAGAGTTCAGGCCCTGCTGGGCGGAGTGGCCCACGCCTGTCCTCCCAGCGACTCAGGAGGCTGAGGCAGGAGGATCGCGGGTTCAAAACCAGCCTCAGCAACTTAGTGAGACCCTGTCTCAAAAATTAAAAAAAAAAAAAAAAAAAATCAAAAGGGCTGGGGATGTGGCTCAGTGATGAAGTGCCCCTGGGTTCAATCCCTGGTACCAGAAAAAGAAAGAGTTCAGGCCTCAGTCCCAGGATCCCGCCACTGATTTGCTGTGTGGCCTCGGGCCAGTGACTGCCCCTCTCTGAGCCTCCTTGGTTTCTTGGTCTCTGTTGGGAATAACACGGGTCCCGACTGCAGCTGGGTTTTGGGGGGGGGTGATGTAGGATGATGCTGATGAGGCTCTGAGCCCAGAATCTGGTCCATGTGAATGTGGCCTCCAGATGGGCCTCTCCCCAGCCGGGAACAGGTCCTTCCCATGATAGTCTGATTCCCTTGTGTGACAACTCCCGGGCACACGCGGGGCCCCAGGACATAACTGCTTACTTGGGGGTCTTATTGAGGACCAGCAGTGAATTCCCCATTTCCTCAGGGCACCACCGAAAGGGGGACACGTGCAGAGCTAAACTGACCCCTCTCTTTTTACGGCTAAGAAACCCCTCAGGTCCCAGAGGGGTGGCTGGCTGACAGATGTCGCTGAGGTTTCTGACTTTGTCAGGGTCTGGCCTCTCTGGTCCATGTGGGCCTCCATACTGGAGGCCAGGTGCTGGCAGAGGCTTCTCGGGGTGGGGAGCGCACCTGGGGCCGAGGGAGGCAGCCCCAACGGTCCCCTGGACTGGCTGACCTTATTGGGTCCCCTGGGGACTCCCTGCTAGAGGTGGGCGAGGCTTTGCAGGTGGCCAGAGGACCAGGGAGTGTGGAGGGCGGGGGCGAAGCCCACACAGTGAGGTTCACGGTTACGGGCAGGGTGACTCATCGGTGCCAACAGGCTGGTGAGACATAGAGAAACCCCGGGTACAGGAAGATGAAATAGGGTGACAGGTTCGAAAACAACCCATCCACCCCAAGGTCAGCTCTGGCTTCCGACAGAGCCGGGTTCAAGGGCTGAGCAGCTGGGATTGACCTGTGACCTTGGGCAAGTGGCTTCACCGGTCAGAGTTTCTGTTTGCTCATCTGAAAGATGGGAATGGTCTAGGGGAAGAACCCAGGGGTACTTAACCACTGAGCCACATCCCCAGCCCCCTTTTTTAAAAAAAAAAAAAAAAAAATATATATATATATATATATATATATTTTATCTAGGCACAGAGTTTCACTGAGTTGCTAAGTGAGTTTAAGTTGCTGAGGCTGGCCTCCAACTTTCCATCCTCCTGCCTCAGCCTCCCAAGTGGCCGGGCACACCAGCATGACATTTTATCTGAACTTTTTTTGCAGCTTTTATCAGACTAGACCTGGCATTTGCCGCTATTTCATGAATGTATTTTACGGTCCTCGGTGGGCAGGGACGTCTGCAGGACAGGGCCTGGGTCTTAACTCATCTCAGTAAACCCCTAGCACAGATGCAATGGCTTCTTAATGTCTGTGATTTTAGGAAATTCTGTACATAACTTGGATTTTGGTTTACTCGGAAATCACACAGGTTTACTAAGGGTCACTACTTTGGCAGAGTAGTAAATAAAGGTGGCTTGTTTAGTGGCCTTAGGAACTCTGACACCCTGCTTTAAAATACCACATTACTGGGCTGGGGCGGTGGCTCCGTGGCAGAGCGCTTGCCTCGCATGTGTGAGGCCCTGGGTTCGAATCTCAGCACCGCATAGAAATGAATAAAGTTAAAGGTCCACGGAGCATTCAAAAATCATTTTTTAAAAAAATGCTGCATTTTTGCGGAAGCCAATATTTTAGCAAATGTCTATAATTTGAAGCAGTTGATGAAAACCAAAGTATGACAAGCCATATTCCAAGCTCGGTTGCTGAGAGAACTTTAAAGACCATGGACCCTCCAAGCCATTCAGGGAGCAGGTCACACGTCCCACTCCTCATTCTTGACTGTGGGATTCCAGTTGGGGTTTGGGTCAGAAGTTGGCACTTTCGGGTACCTTCAGGAAAGTCCCCAGAAGTGTTCAAAAAGTCTTTGAAGCCAGAGGATATCCAATACCTGCCTCTGTGCACCCAGGAGTCTCTATGCTCACCCGAATTTCCTAATAACACAAAGAGAAGGTTCTAGACTTCATCTGAACGTCAAGGGAGCGAACAAGGTGGACTTTTTTGGTCAGAGTTTTGGATGTCCTTTTTTTTTTTCTAAATTCGGTTCCACTCTGTTTTGTGAGAGAACAGAGTTTGGTGGCCTGGGCCTCTTGTGGACATTTCTTCCAAAGATGGAAAATACAAACAGATACAGGAGTGGACTGTCACTCACCAAGTCCCTGTCAAAAGTGCCTCCACGATGCTTGTCCTCAGATGCTGCCGTCCTGGTTTGTCACCGAATCCACAGCCTAAGAAGTCAAGGGCGATCACTGGATGAAACCTCAGGATCAGACCTTCCCCAAATTGTACCTGTCACAGTCATCAAAGGACAGCCGTCTCAGGACGGCCGGCTGCACCCACAGAGTTGTCACCTTGTAGGTGACCATCTTGCTGGAAGTCTTCCATGAATGCAGAGCAGGAGGGAGCTGGTGTGGGGTGGGGGCGGCATGGGCGGGTATGTGGCCAGCAGGGGCCCCGTCAGTGGCCCTCCCTGGACCTGACACTCCCTCATCCTGACTCAGGTCAGGCCTGGGCTATAGGACGCTGTGTTTAGGGGACAGGATGGGACAGAGGTTCTCGGCCTCAACCCAGTCCCCAGGGAAGACTCTTCAACCCAGGGCCTTGGATGGGCCTAACTGGACTCCTGTGTGTCTGTGAAGACCGCTTCCTGTTTGTGGTTTTAGGCCATAAAAATGGATCAAATGCGCGGTGGCTTCCCAGGTGACCCGCGGGATGATGCATCTAAGGGGAATGTTTGCTAAAGAGCAGGGCAGGGCCCCGGGTACGGAGCCCTATCGCCAGCCATCAGCAAAGGCTCCAACCCGGTCTGCCCTTGGGTGCACCTTGGGACATGAGCTACCGGGGCACAGGCTGTCCCTTTGAAGAATGGGGGAGGAGGATGGGTCCTCTCAAGGGTAGAGAGGGATGGGCAAGACCTGGGCAGGTGGTAGGCGCCCAAGAACACCCTCTCTCTCTCTCTCTCTCTCTTCCTCCTTCCCTGTTTTCTTTCACCGGGGATTGAACCCAGGGGTGCTCAAGCACTGAGCCCCATCCCCAGCTCTTTTTATTTTTTATTTAGAGACAGGGTCTCGCTGAGTTGCTTAGGGCCTTGCTACGTTGCTGAGGCTGGCTTTGAACTCGCGATCCTCCTTCCTCGGCCTCCCAAGCTGCTGGGATGACTGTCACTTACCACTGTGCGTAGCTGCACAATGTTTGCAAGGCTTACCTGCACTGCGGCAAGTACCAAGATTCCCCTTTTCCTGGGTGGGTAATATTTCACGATAAGGCTGGACCACATTTGGCTTATTCTTGAATCTGTTGGTGGACCCTTGATTTGTCTCTGCTCCCGTGTTCTGAAGACTGCTACTACCATTTCCCTGTTGAAAGCACCTTGGAGTGTGCGCCTTCGTCTCAGGGGAAAGGGTGTATTTCACATACTTCTACTGCCCAAGTGGGTAATGGGTTAGAGATAGCTGCTCTCCGTCCTCGCCCATCCTCCTCATTCAGAAGGAGCAAGGACTACAGTGGCTTCTGATGAGTTTCCTAGGCATTCCCTTCTTGCGCTAACCTGCCTGTCCTCTGTGCCACCCTGCTCTGCCAACCACCCACCCCCTGCTCTGCTAGCCCCCACTTTGGAGGAGGAGAAGATAGTGTCATCATGAAGGATGGCCACACTCACCTCCATTTCCAGGGCTGATCTCTCAGAGGGAACAGAGAGGGAGGTGTTGGTAATGGAAAATCAGCAGAATAAACAGAGAGCGTTTGGGTGGGGGGGAGGGGTAAGGCAGACAGCTTACTTAGCGGTTTGCAGGGTGTGTCCGCTTTTGTTATTTTAGCACATTGGAATCTCTTGGCTTTGATTTCCTTTAATTAGCATTCCCCACTCACGGGGACAGGTCACGATCTCTAGGAAGTATCCCAGACACTCTGACCAGCAGACGGACATCCCAAGACGTTCATTCCTAATGGCTCAAATGCACCTTCTTCTCCATCCCCAGACCCAATGTAGGGGGCTGGTAAACCATTTTTTTTAATCACTGAGCCCCCTCCCCAGCCATTTCTTTGGGCTTTTATTTAGAGACAGGGTCTCCCTGAGTTGCTTAGGGCCTCACTAAGTTGCTGAGGCTGGCCTCCAACTCACAATCCTCCTGCCTCAGCCTCCTGAGCTGCTGAGATGACAGGTGTGCCATGCACAGTTTTTAAGCAGTTTTTACCTCTAGTACTTTGACTTTTCATTCCCTGCCTTCCCTCCCAACACTCAATAAGTATATTATTTACAAAATATCTCTATCGCCTAGCAAACATCTCTCTGGGAAGAATTAAACGGTTACACATTAAAACTCTTTAAAAATTCAGGCATGCAAACTGGTGTTCGTGGGCCGCCTGCTACAGAACTGTTGGGAGTCTGTTTAGAAGCAAAACAAGTAACGGAGGCTTCTGACTCTCTGGAAGGAGACTGGGCTGCAAATCCGGGCACATCAGAGTCCACAGAGCTGTCACTATTAGGGGTGGGGGGATTTCCTAAATGTGATGAGGATGCTTTTTATGGGGAACCCAGGGATGCTCAACCACTGAGCCCCATCCCCAGTCCTATTTTGTATTTTATTTAGAGACAGGGCCTCACTGAGTTGCTTAGCGCCTTGCTAAGGGTTGCTGAGGCTGGCCTCCAACTTGCAATCCTCCTGCCTCAGCCTCCTGTGTTACTGGAATTATAGGTGTGGGCCACCACACCTGGCCATAGTATGTTCTTGAGAAAGTACCTTGACCTCTCCTAGGACTGGGCAGAGAGAGCAAGGCTGGGCATGGCCCATGGACATGTGCCAGGTACCAGAGTGTCTCCTGGTAGCACTTCCAGGAGATACTCCACTCTGCTGTAGTACCCATGTCCTCTTCCCAGTGTTACCCGGCTCTGTAATGCCTGTGCAGTCAAGAGGAGGGACCGACTCTCCTCCCATCTCCATGAACCATGAATCTGGCAGGACATAATGGCCCACGCCTGTCATCCCAGCAGCTCAGGAGGCTGAGGCAGGAGGATTGCAAGTTGGAGACCAGCCTCCATGAACTGCACAGGAAAATGACCGGTGCTGAGCTGGGGTGGCACCATCTCCTGAGTTCACGGGTCCCTCTTGACCCCAGTGTCTAAGCCTGATTGACAGCTCTCACAGACACACAAGGCTCTGGGAACCGGGGCTGCTTACACCTCTTGCTTTTTCAGCAGGGTGTGTGTGCGGGGGAGAGACCGAGGTGCAGATTGGTGCCCGACTTGCCCAGCCTCTGGGGTCAAGAAAGGACATAGAGTCTTTGGGTTCCCAAATCCCTGTTGAAGGCTACCTCTCACCATGGGTTGGGAGAAGGGGCACTTCTCTGAAGGGTCTTCACTTCAGACCTCCCATTTTGCAGATGAGGAAACCGAGGTCCCAAATAAAGAAAGGCCCGTCCATCGGAGGCTGCCTTCCAAATCTGAACACAGACTTGGATCCAAAAATACAAACAAACAAACAGAAAACCTGTGTCTGCGCTGGGGGCCACAGTGGACCGTGTCTTGCTGAGCAGGGGCAGAGGAAGACCCAGGCCTCTGGAGATGGCAGTGTTCTCCTCCCTGCTGTGGCCCATGGCTTGCAAAATACCACCGTTTGGAGCGAGTTTCTGCAATGGAGCGATTGAGGCCCGGCCAGGCCAGGCCACAATGCACTGGCACAGATAATTCAGATCCCAGCCTCAGCCCCAGGACACCAAGGGAAGTGGCCCTTCCCCCCCCCCCCCAGAAGGCACCCACTTCCTCCCAGGCCCAGGACAGAGGGGGCCGTGCTACTATCTCCCGGGTGAGCGCCGTGGCTCTCTGGGCCCGGCCCCAGGTACCCGGGGTTTGTTTTATGGATGGATCTGTCGTGAGTCAATATGATATTTCCTGTGAGAACTCGATTTCCCTGTATTGTTCCTGGAGTCTGTGTGTGTGTCCCAGCACGTACTCCCCAATCACCACCCTGTCGTCGTCAGCTGTGCCCTGCCACACAGGACACCTCTGGGGGGGTGGGGAGCAGGGGCCAGGGGAGGCCAGACTGGGGTTGTCCCCGTCCAAATATGCTCAGCCTCACTTCCACCCATGGTGTGGCAGGGGGTGGCTCTTTGCTTGCTGAAAACACGTCCATCTGTCATCTCTGGAAAGGAAGCATGTTCTTTTTTTCAAAAAAATTTTAAAAATTGTTGAGACAGAGTCTTGCTAAGTTCCCGAGGCTGGCCTCCAATGTGCGATCCTCCTGCCTCAGCCTCCCCTCCATCGCTGGGATTGCAGGCCTATGTCACAGTGCCTGGCTCTCTTCTGAGGTTTGCAGGCCCAGTCTCCATTTGGCCTTCAAAGCCACCAGCGTGCCTTGCTCAGACTATCCCCCTTGGGGACCTTTCCATCAAAGCTACCGGGTTTCCCGAGAAGGTTCTAGAACACAGAGGAAATTGCCCTGGTGCTAAGAGATGACAGTGGGTATTAGTCAGTAGCTTACCCAAGAGTTTTAAAAGAAGAAGAAAGAAGGAGAAGAGACATTCTCCCTGGTTTCTGGTCTTGCTGCCCACTTCCCTGTCTGTCCCTGTCCCCACCATGTCACCCAGGGACGGCCCCACGCCTGTCCCTCTGAGCTCGTCCGGCTTGGTGATGTCTCTTGTTATTTCTTTCAAGTCTCATTTACATCTATCTTCTGCTGTGGTGGAACTTTCCAGTGGGCAGAAAGCGATGTTTCCATGTGGGTTCTGAGGCTCGCCCCACGCCCCCTTCATGAGGTGTGGTCCTTAGAGAAGGGTCAACAGAGGCGCCCAGTTGGGAGAAAGCAAGGACCCCCAGATGGTTGGAGCCTTGCAATCCCATGGAGGTGACCCAGAGAAATTCCAGGTCTCCGTTAGGCCCTGGGAGCTGTGCCTGACCTTTCTCTTACCCTCATCCTGGGCCATGGTCACTGGGGACGCAGTCGTTAGAAAAAAAAAGAAAAGAAAAAAGAGAAAACGCGAATTTGAGACTCAGTGATTTCTTCTCAGCTGCTGATTCCACAGATGGGGAAACTGAGTCCCAGAGAATTTAAAAAAAAGGGCCTACGGTTGCTGAGATTCAACACCACCATGGCCTGATTTCAGAGCCTGGGTTCTGCTGGGTACCGTGGAGGGCCATGGGGCGTGCGTCTGTCATCCCAGCAGCTTGGGAGGCTGGGGCAGGAGGATTGCAAGTTGGAGGCCAGCCTTAACAAATTAGGGAGGCCCTAAGTAACTGAGACCCTGTCTCAAAATAAAAATAGAAAAGGGCTAAGGAGGGCTGGGGGTGTGGCTCAGTGGCAGAGTGCTTGCCTTGCACATGTGAGGCACTGGGTTCGATCCTCAGCACCACATAAAGATACATAAACAGAATAAAAAATATTTAAAAGAAAGAAAAGGGCTAAGGATATAGCTCAGTGGTAAAGTACCCCTGGGTTCAATTCCTAGTACCCTCCCTTGCCTGCCCCTCAAAAAAACCTGGGTTCTTTGCACTCATGGGAAGAAGTCCCAGAGACCTGTAGTCATGCAGTGTGATTCCAAATTGCGGCTCCACTGTTATAAGCTGTGTGTCCGTGGGCAAGTTTCTTGACCTTTCTGGACCTGAGTTTTCTTTATGGGCAAATGGGGGAAGCAGAATATCTCCTGCAGAGGGTCCACGGGTGGATTCCAAGGACGGCGTTCAGGAAGGAGAAACAGCCCGATGTATGGCATAGGGTAAGTATTTAGGGAAAGTTGGCTAATCCTGATCATTTCACCATCTTGCTCCACTCCCCACTGGCCCTCAGAAACTTGGAAGTGAAAAAGATTTTAATTAAACAAAACCAGCTCGGGCCCCACGTGGAGATGCCCGGACAGAGGCAGCTTTCTAAGAATGTGGTGCAACACCCCCACCCTGGGGTATCGGCTCCCTGCTTGGTGGATGGAGCAACGGCCCGGCTTGCTCAAGGTACCCAGGACGGGGCCAGGCTGTTCCCTCCTCCCCTGCCCCAGAATTTCCCAACAGGATCCGGACAGACACATTTCTTCAGCGTTTGGGGGAGGCAGTGTCCCTTCCTGCCCCTGCTCAGAGGGTCCCCCCTGGGTGATAGAGGCTGGCTTTGTGACTTGGGGGTAGTCAGGAGCCCCACTTCTCCGCTGGTCAGCGGTTCTCGGCCATCTAGGAAGCCTCTGGCCTCCACGAAGACGGGGTAGAGACCAGGAAGGAAGATGAGTTCTCGCGGTGCCACCTGCTCTGTATGTTATCTCTGTCTTTGGGCGGGTGACTTCACCCCAGACGTCGGGGCTGAAGTCCTGCTGACTTTGCTAAGTTGTCCCAGGGATGAGAGGATCGGCTCGTTGTTTATTTGGCTCCTGTGGAGGGCAGGTGGCGAGGACAGAGGCCAAGGGGCACTCTGGGGTCCCAAGAAGTCCCCGGTCTGCAGCCCCTCTGCTGGAGGTCCTAATGATGGCGTTGACATTAAAACATGTCACCGGTAGCTGCACGTTTCGATTGCTGAGGCAGGGAATCCGTCACTAAGCACTCATGTGGATAAATATGAAGGGACGCGGAGGGCAGAGGCCATTCTTTCCTCTGTCACCTCTTTCCTGGCTGCTGTGACAGCTCATATTAGTGACACCTCAGCGGGGGCGGAGTCGCTGGGAAGGTCACTCTTTGGCTGTTGGCGTCCGTGGGAGAGCCGAGCCCCATGGCCTACCTGGACTCCAGGCCCAGACACTCCCAGACCTGGGCCAC